GTGATTTAAATATATTAAAATATTTTTAGATTTTTGTGTTCTTTTTCTTTCAGAATAAAAAGGTAAAAATGGTACACATAGGCCTGAAGACATTGAAATAAGTTTTAAAGAAAAATGGCTAAGCAATACCATCTACAGGTGCTGCTAGATACAAACATCTCCCATAATAAATTGATCTCTTTCATTCACTGCTTTAATTAGACTTTTATGGAGTTATAGTTATTCTGCCAGAAGTTAATTTGGCTGTCACACTCAATAGTAACCAGAAACAGAGAACAAAATTTTAAGATGGCATGTCAAGTCCAACCTTCACACAAGTCATGAGAACATGGAAATTATGAAAGCAATGCTATTTTCTAAGTCCTCATTCATCAGCTTTTTCTTATCTTAATTAAAGGAGTAATCCATTTGGAAAATAATAATAGGAAAAAAGAACCCAAATTACCTGATTATGTTTATATCATCAAGACAAACTGGAAGTTTAATTAGGACTACATTTCAGCAGGAGTAGTATGCCATCATTTAAAATTACACTGTACAAAATAATAGTTGGCTTTACACACTTTTAAGCAATTACATGGAGTGAATGATTGCTATGGAAAAGCAGGATGCACTTTGAGAAACAGAAATCCTCATGCCTTTCTTCAGACAGAGTACAAAATCCTCTCCACCTCACTCTGCAGTTTAACCTCCATATGCTAAATCCAAATACAAGAATTCTTTCTCATGCAGATATGTAAGGCTCTGTTCATTCAGGAGTATTTGGACACAGGTGCTTTGAATAAGCAAACCAGGAATACCCTTTTTAACATTTTAAGTAACCTCATGTGTGTAACAGATGATTCTCCACCAATGAAGTTTTTACTGAATGTTTGATTGGTTCACATTGCTCTGGCTTCCTCATCATACGGTTGCGCTGACATGCAATCCCAGGTAGACCCAGGTTTTAGTACAAATTTGCCTTGTCTCAAATACACATTTCAGGGGAGAAAACAGGAAGAGATAGCTTTGGAAAACAATATAACAATATAGTTGTGAAGTTTCACGAGTATCAGAAACAGCTGAAGAAACGCCAAAACACAAGAAGATGTTACAGTTGAAGGTTATTCCTTCCCACAGTCTCACAATGGAGAGCTCTAGTTCCTCTGTATGATATGAAATCTGCACACTTGACTTTATAACAGCATAAAAAACCAAGGCATCATAAATACTTTCAAACAGGCTGTTCAGAAATGAACAGAAATACCAACTATCTGCTTTGTGATAGCTCAAACACACCCAACCACTTCCAGGCCTTGTTTCCTCCCAATGTCACCTACTATTGGTAAAAAGAACCTCTCTGTAGAACGAGCATGTTACACCAGCTCTGTTCCCATTCCTGCTGTTTGAAAGCACCTGTAAATCCACCCAATTGCTCTACAGCTTTTTTAGGAACAATCAACTTTGCTGTTGCAACAACAATTTGCTTTAACATTCACAATACAAATTATTTCCTACTTGCTGGAAGCTGTTGCAAAAAACCATACTCTAGCTTACAGAAACAATCAGCCCTAGCTGACTTCCCAAAAGGTTTATTTAATTAGCAGTCAGATTCCTGTGCATGGAGGTGGAGACAACATCTGTCTCAGCTGTCTGTGCCAACGTATTTATATGATTTTTTGTTGGGCCGGGAGCCTTTGGAGCTTGCCATGTGGAGTGTGCCAGGATCAGCTTAAGTTTAAAAATGTTGTTTGCTTTCAACATACTAAGCTGTGTCAAGATTTTTATAACTTTGATAGAGCGCATACATATGTGGTAAGTACTAAAAAAAATTATGCACTGCTATAGTTACCATGCAAAAATATAGTGATGATCTTATAACAGCATAAAGTACATTACAGAATATGTACAGGGACAGAAATTAAAATGGTGGTTATGTAAAAATAAAAGTTCTATCTTAATCTTTTAGGTACCTTTTCTAGGGAAATTTTCATTTAAAGATAAAGAAACTTTTTATTTAAAGGAAACTTGTTTATACTCACCATTTAACCTAAGTTAGGAGAGAATTAAAAACCAGTTTGTTACCAAAAGAAATTGAAAACAACTCTAATTTCTAGAAGGGCATTGTTAGATGTGTCTAGGTCACTGAAGAATTATATGAAATACTGATTCTTGGTATTTATATTTGAAAGTTGCAGCCAACCTTTATATGACTTACTTTTCTTTCCTGCAGCACAGATGAGAAAAAGGGGAAAAATGACACGCACCTTTCCCCCCTCAAACAACATTGAAACACATGCATCATTCTTTGACATTAAAGCTCTTACAGATAGCACATAGACATGAATCAGCATCAGATAATCAGAAACAAAATTTGCTTGAGAGTTCTTTGTCATACAGTTAATTTCTTAAGATTTTGATTGAGATTTTGCTCTGTGTTTCCACTTGAACTGAGATTTTGGCTAGCATCTTTATTAGCAGTTGGAGTTGCTTTTGGCAGTCAGGAGTATAAAGTCACTAATCTCAGAAAGACTGAGCTTCAAAATAGTAATGAAAAACATTCATGAAAGGTTCTTTCTGCTTCTTGGTGGCAATAGGACACTTGGACATCAGAAATTAAGCAATGTAGCATAATAGTGACAATTTCCACCAAAAAAAGTAGCAGAAATGAAAAATTTGGTGCTGGTATCAGATAGGGGACACTGATAATTTCATAGGATATGGAGTGCAACAGTTTACCATAGACCAGTCAGGAAAATCTCCCAAAGAAGTTTATTCTTCTGCATATTTAGATTTAGCAAATAAATGGATGATGTCTGTTAGCAGGAAGGGATTATTGTGGTACCTTCCAAACAAGGTACCTGCTCACTGGATCTGGAGAACAGCAAAGCTTTCCATTCACAACTGCACTATTCTGCAGAACAGAGAGCTGCTTGGTAATAAATAAAAAACACTTGGTGAAAAGAAGTCATGATTAATTGGGTGACTTTTGTTTGAACTCTGTCAAGTTCTTAATATTTCTACCTAACTCACAAAGTTAAACAATGTTACTATTAATGTTTTACTAAAAAGAAAAGAGGGATAGTGTACATGTTTTAATTCTTGCTCTTTGTATATTTGAGTATCTGCTGCTTACATGAGAAAAACAAGACTGGCTTGGTGGGAAGAGGGCATATATCTGTTTTTAAAGGAATCTTATAATAACAAAGGTGTCCCTTCTGATAAGTACATGCTGTGCAGGCATAAAGGACCAGTGAAACTGAGATACTATGATAAAACTCTTCTTCTGTGGAAAAATCCTGAAAGCTATACCAAGTAGTTGAATCCACCATCAATGCAAGAAACCTCTGTGGTGACCAAAGCCATATATTTACCCCTGAATTATGTATAAAGTTCAGCAAAAGAAAACAAATACGTCAGTGGAAGTGAAGAAATGTGAATAAGTGATGAAAAGCCAAACTCACAAGTACAAGTGCAAACTGTTAAAAATTGTGGTGAAATAAATGAGTCATAGCTCTCTTCTAGAAATTGACCAAATGACCAGAAGACTTCATTTATGAAATATTATGCAAATTTCTTACTTTATTTTTCCACTGCATGTTTTTTCCTGAGTTGGGAACAACTCTAAATACTAAGTTTTTCCTGTATTTGCCATTAATGGCTTACAGTGTTATCAGTGTTAAACAAGTTAGCTTTAAATTTGATATGCAGAATAACCTCTTTGGAAAGATTTTTTTAGAAAAAAATCAGGCAAATAATCTAATAATCTTCTAGATTAAGTCTAGAAAAATTAGTTTTCACCTTGATTAAAAATAAGGAAAACAAAGCAAAAATGCAGAATACAGTTTAGAAGGGGCATGAGGGCACTTTTGCTGCTGCCTTGGACTGAGAATAAAGGGGGTTTGTGCTGCAACAATACTGGAAGCTGTGGGCTCCCCATACACTGCCACTGGACTGAAAGCAGCAGCTTCAAACTATGTTCAGTATGATCTAATAGCAGGATAGGAAAGGTCCAGTCCTATTTTCCCCTTCACTACAAATCCTTGCCATGTCCTTTCTCCTTAGATTGTAGACAGAGAGTGAGAGCCAGGGTAGCAAACTGATCTGACAGATCCAAGATGGAAAGAGTCCAAGGTAAAGCAACTTTAGGTAAGAACTTCAAGAAAACTATGAAGTATGAACAAAGCCTGATAAGGATACAAGATAGAGATATACATTTTTATTATAAAAAGGGCAGAAATTTGCAGGTCTCCCTTTTTAATGTGGGAAAGACAAGAAGAAAGCTTCATTGTTCACTACAAAGGAAACTTAAACTGGGATATAGAGAAAACTTTTTATAAAACCCTGGCAATGATGACATACTGGAAAAGGATATACAAAGAGCTATCTCCAGCAATTAAAGATTTAAGAAAAAATTAGACAAATATCTGCAGAGAATCTACTTCAGTGGCAAATTTGGATTAGATTTTCTCTTAATAACTCTTCTGGCCTTACATATATAAGGATTCCATTTGATATATATTTTATATTTAAAATTTTTATATACTTCTAGTATTTCAAAAGACTCCTTAACATAAAAAAAATCACAAAAGAAACTGAGCTCCAAAAGGTTTCTTCTATCACCATCATCATGTTGAATCATCATTTCACAATCCTAGTGCCTTAGGAGCCACTTACCTGTGATTTTTTCCTGCAGCTATGGAGCCATTTAAAAAAATCACGATGCAATTACCTCTACAGATAGAATACTATAAGACCAAAACCAAGATGTCTGTATTCTCATTTCCCTTAAGGCCATGATCACTGTAAAAAATAACATGATTCTCTATCAAGCACAGCATCCCCAGCAAGAATATGACACTGCTTCACAAAATTTTCTTATCACTTAGAAAAAAGTCAAAGAAATGGGGACGATATAGATAGTCTGTGGTAAAAACCTTCAATTATTAACAGCAAATGATACACCTCAAAATAAATTACTTTGTACTGCTACAGAGAGAGAAATCTGGGGCATGTGGTACCTCATCTAAACACTGAAATGCAGGACTTGCTGTTAGGTCAGTGGGTCCCTGCTCCTCCTCTGCTGTCAAGCCACTGGGTCCCTCCTCTTCCTCTGCTGTCCGGCCGGTGGGTCCCTGCTCCTCCTCTGCTGTCAGGCCAGTGGGTCCCTGCTCCTCCTCTGCTGTCAGGCCAGTGGGTCCCTGCTGCTCCTCCTCTGCTGTCAGGCCAGTGGGTCCCTGCTCCTCCTCTGCTGTCAGGCCAGTGGGTCCCTGCTCCTCCTCTGCTGTCCGGCCGGTGGGTCCCTGCTCCTCCTCTGCTGTCAGGCCAGTGGGTCCCTGCTCCTCCTCTGCTGTCAGGCCAGTGGGTCCCTCCTGCTCCTCCTCTGCTGTCAGGCCAGTGGGTCCCTCCTGCTCCTCCTCTGCTGTCAGGCCAGTGGGTCCCTCCTGCTCCTCCTCTGCTGTCAGGCCAGTGGGTCCCTCCTCCTCCTCGCTAGGAGCTGCTGCAGTCACCTCACCGGTAGGTGACTCATTCTCAGTTGCCAGCTCTGGATCAGCGGCACTTCCTTCATCAGCCTGACTCATTGTTTAAAGGTCTAGAAAGCAACAAAAACACCAATACAGTTCATTAGATCCAGGGATGCATCTGATTGTGAAAGATAAATGTGTAGTGTAAAAACCACTACATAAACATGTCAGACCCACATTCAAACCATAGAAGTCACAATGAGAGCAGATTAGATAACTCCACACTTACAACTTCATAAAAGACTTCATGCAAGAGGCTGCACTATCATTCTATCATACTCTTGAGTATTTTTAAAATATCCTGAAGAAAGCTCTTATTCCAGTTAGGTAACACAGTCTTTTAATAAATGCACAGACAGAGAAATTAAAGAAGGTCAGAAAACATAATTTTGCTATATTTACATTATAGAAAAATCCCATATTAATATCTGTCATATAAGAATAGAAATCTCTAAGATACTTCCATTAGAAACAGTTAAATGAGGACATTCAGTACTTACTTCTCAGCAAGATTGTACTTAATGATGCCATAAAGTTTCTATAATTCCACTTTGTGTTTACTGTCTTGGTCCAGCACATAAGAATTATGTACCCAAGCTTCAATCATCAGAACTCTTTGGGATGTGTAAGAATGCCAAGGTGGGTGAGGGAAATAGGAATACAAGAGGATACAATGCTCCTGGTACCCTGATAACTCAGCAATGTCCATCAATTAGGTCTTCATCATTACACCAAATGTGAGTTAATATATGCAAAACCCACCTTCTGGCATAACAGCATGTTTTGTATATCCAGAGTGTTTTAAAATACCAACTTTTTACATGAAGAGACATGAAAGGTGACGAAAACATCACAAGAGAAAGATAAAGGAGACATGGGATGACCCACCAGAGGCAATAAGCATCTTACAGAGGGAAGAGAGGGGAAGAGGGCCTTGTGAGGCACTCAGAAACCTTGCCATGACATAGTGAGAGAGGGGAGGCTTGGGGCACTTGTAGAGCAAGGAACAGTTCCAAGTGGAAATGGAGGAATTCAAGAATTCCTTCACAAGTTCACTGAAGTTGTTTTAGATGACAGGAAGGGACAGATCAGTATCACAGTATTTTAGTGCAAAATTTTGGGAGAAAGATAATTGACTTCTGCAAATGTTCACCTGACACCAGAAGGTCTTCCTACATTAGCTATTATGAAGAGGATATTGTATTCTGCTATGGAACCACATCACAATAAAACCCATATCAGCTGCCAAAGTTGCAGAATCCTCTTCAAATTAGGCAGTCTTGACATTATTTAGCATTTCACATAATATGTGGGAGACCTTCCTCTTTTTTTAAAAGAGTGCTGTCTTTTAATCTCACTATAAATCAAGGACAATCAAAATTAAAACTGTAATAAAATTAAGAAGAAATTTTGAGACTACTTCTATAATATACACCAGATGTTTTCAATGAAACAGATAGTGCAATTTGGCATTGCATAGTCAGAAAGCTGACAGTTAAGAAAAATATAACTTTTTATAATTGTGGTGGGAAAATGGATACAAAAATGTTGGGTCATTTGTATTCACCTTTTGAAAAGTCACTTGTCTATAAAGTAGTGGAAGTTAAACTGGCAAGTTTATTACTTTCTTCAGTACTGTTTAGAATTCCTTCAGGAACACTTTGACTTTTAGAGAGCTTTCAGTGTCTGTATTTGCTTATGGAAAAAAAAGCAATTTCATGATCCCTCCCGGACGAGTCAAAACATTGTGAAATAACTGTAAACATCATAGAGGCCAAGAAATAAACTCTGAGTTACTGTACATAAACATGTACACACATTTATAAATAGCAAGTGACTTTTCATCCCTAAAGAGCTGCTGAATACTTTAGCATATGCATTTTGTGTTTATGGCTACTGTTACTTTATTTGCTCCTCTCAACTTAGAATTTAGACAGAGGGAAAAGCACTGTGGCAGAAACTCTTACTAGAACAATGCCAAAATGTGAGTTTCATTGGTGTAGGCATATTCATCAGTACTTGTATATGAAACTTACAGTTGACATCAGTCAAAAATATTCCTCCTCCCAGAACGGCTGTACAAAAGAGTCCTCACCAGGACTCCAGTTTTCTGGGCAGGGAGAGAATAAAAAAAAAATCTTCTGAATCTGGAAAGTTTATAGTGTTAAGTTAAAACACAACTATAGAAATCTGAGACAGAGAAAAAACATTAGAAAAGCCTCAGCTAGTGTGACAAGCCCTTGTCTCCATGTGGTTTTAAGAGAGAGCAGACATAAACATGTAGGTTTATGGGGCAATAAATAAGTTTAGCAGTCTTCCATTACCTGCTCCATTACTAAATATATAATTCAGCTTATATAAAATTAGATCTATAAACCTCAAAAAGCAAAGTGGAAAATTTGTGTCTTTGCAGTATCTGGTAAATAAAATGTCTAATTGAAATAGGACTGAAAGTTGTCATGATTTCTAACTTCATGGAATAGCCCAACAAGTAAGGATGTTTTCAAACTGTAGAACTGCAAACAATATCGCAGCCTTGATCCAAGACACAGAATTGCAGAGAACAGGAATTACAAGGCTGTTTTGGAACCTGGGTCAAATCAGGCTGAGAACTGTCTTGTGAAACAGCTTCAGGGCAGCAATAATAATAGTAATAATAATAGAAGTCTAAACTCAGATTCCCCAAACTAATTTCAGCTTCTTTACTTCTGTCTCTCTCTAGCAAACAGCAACGTTCATACACAAATCAGTGCAGAATTTAGGTAGGTGATACTCAGCCACATTTGTTATATTCAGAGGGACAGATGCAAAAAGCAGTAAAATTTTATTCTGAGCATAAAGAGATTCAGGTCCACATATGAAGGTGAATCACCTATCTCTGTGTTGTCATCTTATTGCAGGGGTTCCACACTGCTGTCTCCTATGACAGAAGTTCCATACCTCCTTGGTGTTTCTTGTGGGCAGCTCCTCAGGGCACTGACTCTTTCTTCTCCACAAAGCAACCCCAGATCCCTTCTCACCCAGTCACCTCACTCTTTTATAGCATCATCTTCTCATTGGTTACAGCTGTGGCCTGTTAAAGTCAGGTCTGTTCCTAATCTTTGATAATTGGCCTAGCTGCAATTCCTCAGGGGTAAGATTGCTTTCTACACTATCTTTATTTTTCTTATATTCTATCCCCCTACATCTCTGCACAATTCCAGCCTACAACTGGATGCCTGGGGAGGGAGAGAAGTACCTACCAGTCATGGTGTGGTGATGCTTCTATGAACCCATGCCCTTTCTCCTTGAACTCAAAACTTTCAGTATTGGTAAAATCCAGGGGAATGGAGATTTTCATTTCACCTTGGTATGACATGGTGCTTCCTGTTGCATCTGGCTCCTTGATGTCACCTAGTTCTTTTACTGATGAGTCACTGAATAATCACAACTTTTCTATGCCACTAGGTTTATTCCTAATGTTGAATCATCATTTGACAATCCTTTTTCTAGGCTGAAGCAGCCAATCCACCTGCTGTCACTGGCATGAAAGCCTTTCTCTGCCTTCCACTGTCCTTATCCTTCTCCAAAACTTTTTCAGTTCTACTATATCCTCTTGAAAGAGATGGGATGAGACCTACAGGTAATATTAATAACAGGAGCACCATAGATTTATTCTATCACACAGTGATCCTCTTTCCATCCCTTAAAATGATTTTTAATGCATTTTCCCTAATGTTAAAGTAGAAGACCTTTTGTTTTAATTGGACAGAGTCTGTGCTTCAGCATGAATGGACGTGAGTTTAAACAACAAAACCATGCCAACAATGCTAAACAATATTAAACAATACTTGAATCTAAAACTACATTGTGTACAATAGGACATTATCAAAGGCATGTGAATCAGAATGGATTGTTTGATTAGATTGTACAACCTCACCACTTTGGGGAAATGAGAGCACACCATAAACTGATAACAGTTTCTACCTAAACTGCTCAACAATTTCCTTCATAAGTTCTGCTGTTTTCCCTTGTTTTCAAGTCTGCGATTTGGGAAAGAACCACCCTGAGCCACACAGAGACTTTATCTGCTGGAGTTCTAATTAGATATGGCTAAGATAAGGAGAATTGAATGGTAAGGTTTGTCACTTCCATCTCACATGGTTTCCATGAGGAACTAACTTTCCTCAGGAAACTTCTGGTAGCGTGACAAACAAGAAAATCCCTGAAATCCAAACCATTGTGTGCTTTGCAATGCTAAAGTACAGAGGAGGAAACAAACAAAACATAATTTGCCTACCTACTGAACTCTAGACCTTAAGAACTAAGAAGATTCAAGGAAGCAGTTCAGAAATGCACCACTAAAAAAATCCCAAAATACAAATACAGGTGGCCCTATTTTCCTAAGAAGTGAAGTGACATTATTTCTTCATTACAATTATAGCAAATGGGTAAAATTAATCCTGCCCAGGCAGACTAAGTTTTTACCCTCTGGGTATCTGCAGCAGTTTGTGATTATTCTGTGATAAACACAAAAGTTAAAAAAGTGTAATCCTTCTACAGTCTTCCCTGCAAATAATTCCTCTTTCCTTGAAATCTCTCTTTCACCTTAGCCTAAAAGTGCATCTGATAATACTTTGGCTTAAAAATCTATTTTAAATCACTTTATAGAACTTCCATAAGTTCTAGAGTTTTTTTATCATTTGCATGAAATATTGAATATTCTTTGGCATACAACACCAATAAAATGGCAAATAAGGATTGTAATTCACTAAGAAATCATGCAGATATCAAAAGTGGAGTTCTAATTATATATTCACTTATAAATTTGCTACAATTTTATTTTCCTGCAAATGACAAGTCAAAAAATGAAAGAGAGAAAAAAGTGAGGAAATAATTCCTTCACTGTTGGAGTGTGCTACATGCTATACAGCTGATCCAAACAAAAGCATGAAAGTTAAACAGAATCAAGATAGGAAAAAATATAGAAGGTATAAGTAAAACATTAAACACATGAGGTTTCATATGTATGGAGAAAGAGCTTCTTCCTAGCAATTTTTAATCTTTTTGTATTTTGTGTTTTGTTCAGTATTTTTAACTATGCATGCTTAGACTGTATCTAATGAGACACAGCAGAAACAATGAAATATAAACATAACTGAGGCTGAAACATCTTGGAATGGTTTCTTGAGCTAACTTCTCAACCATGCAAAGCCTGACAGCATTACAGGTGATGCGGAGCCCAGTTTACTGTGGATTGTGGGCACTGATAAAGCTCTGCCTGTGTGAGGAGCACCAAATGCCAAGCTCCTGGAGGAAAGGGGAGCTGTGGGAAAGCAGCAGTGTGGTTTCAGAGGAGGAGGGAGTCCAGGATCAGCAGCACTGACCCAGGCAGAAAGGGGATCAGCAGCGAGCCCCACCTTACCGGGGCCGGATTCCCCCGGAGCAGTCGGAGCACGGAGTTATCTGAGTTATTTGCTGAGCTGGCTGGCATCTAGCGGAGTTAAAGCACATTGCAACACACTTGGTACACATCTGTAACACTTGGTACACATCTGTAACAGCTTTCCCCCGACAAACAATCTGACATCCAAATTTGGTATTGGTCTCAAGGGTGAGAATTTTGCAGATTTTTTTTCCCCAAATCCACTATCTGTGAAGACTTGGGAAAAAAACCCAACAAACCCCAACCTTCCAGCCTCCATCATGTCCCAAGATATTTTTGATACTTTTTTGGCTTTCTAGAATTCAATTTTTGTATGCTAGACTATCATAAAAGAGGCTAGCCCTTTTTGTGTTTAGCCTAATGATTTTTTGAGACTCAGTAATGTAAACCAATGCAATAATTTAAATGATGAATGTGAATCTTCATTAAACTTTCCACAGTGAAAATTACCAATGGACCAAAAAAATAGGGCAATTCTCTTTCCTCTTGGACACTGAGATATCATTTCAGATTCATAAATAATCAAAGCCAGACAGTGACAGAAATAGAAATAGAGCTAATGAGATGAAAAGTATTTGATGACTAAGTATCATGCTTGCATGGTTATTTATGAAAAGAAACACATGGAATGCCAAAGGGAGACAGGAATTCAGTAACAGGCCCAGATTTCGTTATTACTTGTGTTGCAATCTTGCTAAGACAATGCAGCTTTCTGTACATTTTTCTCTCTCATTACTGGCAGTAAACAACAACTATTACTAGAATTCAGCCCCTGACTGTACATCATCTATTGCCTACATGCCCCACCTCATTTTTTAAAATTGTTATACGATGACAATGTTGAGTATGAAGTCCAGAAGAATCTTTTAAACTGAATTAAGCTTTTCCTTGCTTGTTTGTAAACCCTGTAAGGACAATTGTCTTATGGCTTATTTGTGGAGACCTCAGGAAAATATTTATTTGCTTGGCTTCAGAACTGCTACAAAGCAGTACAACACCTAACATATTGACCAAAACTTATTGACAGAGAGCGACTCTGGTGCTTTGTGCTATCACTTCAAAAAGCCAACAACATATAACTGTGTTTTTCCAACACATCTGCCAAACTGTTTCTACACCGGCTGGCCGGGGACATTTCAGCACAGGCAGGCCGGCTGTAGCTGAGGGGCACTGAGGGGCGGGCTGCCCGCGGGACCCCGGCTCCTCACGGCACGGGCCCGCCCGGGGGTCGCATCCCCGGCCCTCAGGGACTCCTCAAACAAGGCTGTGGCGGCGCCGCTTGACTTACTTCCCGCCTCGACGTCGGAGCCGCGCCTTTGCCTCTCTTGGCCCCGGTCCCCGCCCCGGTCCCGGTTCCCTCGGCTCCCTCCCGGCCCGGCCCGGCCGAGCGGCGTCCCCGTCACTATGGCGACCCGCGCCCCACCTCCCGCCCACCTCAGCCGTTCCCGCTTCTGATTGGCTGCAGTGTTCGCCCCGCCGCCCAATAACAGCAAGCTCTCGGCAATGGCCCGCCCTCTCCGCTCTCCGATAGGCCCTCGGGCACGGCTGTAGTTCCTTCCGCGCGCCGTAGAACTACGGCTCCCAGGAGGCTCCGCGGCGGAGCCACCGCCTGTTTACCGGCCGTGCCGGTGCCGCTCCCCGCGTGCAGCCCCGCCACGTGACCGGCCGGGGGTCACGGCCGCCCGCCGGGAGCGGCCTCGTCCCGTCAGGTCCGGTCCCGGGTGCTCCTGACGCGGCTCCCGGGCGCTCTCGCCCTGCCGGCGGCAATGAGGGCGCTGCCGCCGCGCTGGGCGGCCCTGGCTGTGCGAGCGGCGGGCGGGCAGTGGGCGCCGCCCGTGCCCCGCCGCGGTCGCAGCGGCCCCGGCCCGCCGCGGGAGTGGGCGCTGTCGGTGAGCCCGCGGGGGCGGCTGCGGGTGCGGCTGCCGTGCCAGGTGAGCGTCCGCCCGCTAGACCCGCAGCGCTGCCCGGGCGCGGACCGGGTGCTGGTGGCCGTGAGCGGCGGCAGCCCCGGGCGGGAGCGGGAGCGGAACCCGGTGCGGGTGGAGCACGACGAGGCGCTGGGGCAGGTGGCGATCGTGGCCGACGGCGTGGACAGCAAGACCGCCGTGGACATCCGGACGCCGGTGATGTTCGGTGAGGGCGAGGGAGCGCACGGATCGCGGGGGTCCCACTGGGAGCTGGGCTCTGCTGGAAGGCGGCGTGTGGAATCGGCATCGCGCCCTGGCTGGTTCCGAACGCCCCACTGAGTTTCCTGAGCTCCGGCACCTCCTGCGTGTTGGGGTACGCGGTTTGTCGGTGACCCTTTCGGTAAGAGTGGTTTGTGCTGGAACCTGAGCTGGTCAGGGGCACTCGGAGCGCTCGCCGACATCTGGGCTTGGCAGCGGCTGCTCCAGAGAGACCCGGCCCGGGGCAGCATCCCGGGCATCCCTGCCCCACTGGGGCTGCTCCATGGAGCACGGCTGCGGCATCCAGCAGCTCCGGCAGGGTTTGTGTGTGGAGTGGGTCTCCGCAGGCTCAAAAGAGCCCGGCAGGTAACGGTGCAGATGAAATAAAAAAGGGCTCCCTTGTCCAGTACAAGCTTTGCATTATCTTTTTGGGCACAGGGCTATAATCTGTGCAGGGTTTCTTGTATGGAACACGGTTTGGGAGAGCAGCTGTAGTGGCTGAAGCCAGGAAACATCTATGCTGAGCTGACAGTGAAGTTCTGGCAGTGGCCCTGAGTTTACGGAGTACAAACTCAGAGATCTGTGTTCAGTCACTAATGTGGTTTTGGTTTTTTCTTATGCATTTGGGCAATTTTCTATACTGTACAGAATGTTTCATCCTGCTGGAAAAACTTTTTATGTACAATGCACCTGGTCTGTTGCTTTCTTAAAGTTATTAAAGAACTAATGCATTATTTATTTAATGCCCTGCTGCAGTTGTGATACAAGAAATGATGAATAATCCCACCCTACTTACTTACACTTCATTCATGTAATCTATGACTTTTGTAGAATATGATGTTACATACAGCAAAGACATTCTGCACCTTTTATCTTACTTTACTTTTTTTCCTACCCTGTGTCTTATGAAAAATTCTGCAATGTGCTTTTTTTCCCCCTAGTTTTCTTTTAGAAGGACCTGAACTGCATATAATTCAAGAATGGAGAAGTCCTATTTGACATCACATCATTCTCACATTTTCCAGTCTTACTCATCCCTATAATTTAATTCCTTTAAAGTGCTGCTTAAAACTGAAGGGCTGTTTCTTAAATATGTTTATCACAACTTAGGGTCTGTTTTGTTTCCTAGCAACTAATATATGCACAAATATTCTGTAATTAAATACAGAATATTTGTGCATGTAATCTGCATATAACCCTTGCTGCCCTCAGTGTGCTTTGCTCTGTCAGAATGGCTGTGCTGATTCCTGCCATGACTCCAGCAGCCACTGCCCTGTCTCTGGTCACAGACGGGTGCTCAGGGAAGGGTAAGAACAGAACAAATGTAAATGATATTTCATCTGAGCATTCTCTTAGCTGTCAACTAAGCTGTCAAGCAGCTGTCAACAGCTGTGAAATCCTGTGCTTTCATCACAGGATTTTCAGAGCCTGATACAGCTCAACCCTTCAGTGCATCTCTCTGCTGAGTGTCCCTTTACACATGGAAACAGTTTCAGGGTGAGAGCTTCCTAGTAAACTCTTATCAGTCCCACAAATTAATTTCCTGCCACTTTATCATTTTAGTATGTGGTATTCCAAGGTCCTCCTGCAATTTGTCAGTGAGTTTTTGACTAGTCTGAATCATTTGTTGCCATTGATATAAGTTTTCAAGCTTGCTATTTGTGCTGATTTCCCGCTTCTTGTACTGTTGAAGGTGGTGCACAGCTTATAGCTGAAAGACAATATGGAATTAAGGATATTGTTAAAGGCATTTGAAAATCCAAGTTGGTTCTCTTAAACAGATCAGCTGTTACCTCTTTATTCATTGACCTCTAGCTGGACTGTCTTCTCTAAGAGTCTTGTAGCCTTGACTCTTACCTGAGAATTTTCAGTTGCTATCTTACAGCACTTCTTTTTATTTTTTTTTCATTCTCTTGCTTGACAAGCACAAAGATTGCCTTGGCTTGTCTGTAGCACCTTCACAGAGTCCATCCCATAATTACTGAACCTCAAACAAACCCAGTGTCTCACTTATTACCCTTCAATTCTCAGGTGTGTCTGGGCACTGTAGTCCTTTACTATTTCGGTTTCTCCAGGAGCTCTGAGTGACTATTACAAGTCACTCCAGAGCTGGTTATTCTCAAGGTGCAGAATTCATTGTGTTCAGGTGTGAAGAATTTCAGCCTTCATAAAGGGTTTCAATGTGAGGAATCTTCCTGAAAGTCTTGATAGTCAATCCTGATTGCTAGAAGACAATAATTTTGTTTTTGTCCTGTCTTTGAGATCCTTACTATATTCTGAATGTCAGCCAGCACTGCAGACAGTCTTAGGGGCTTTCTTCTTGAAACAGGTGTTCTGTTTTTTGTAGGTTTCTAAGCTGTTCCACTTGGGTTTGTGGTAAGCTCATGCAATTCAGGTTCCTTGGACAATGTGTGGACTGTAATGTCCTTCCACAAGTGGCTCCTTGTCACCCCCTCATTAGCAGGATGTTACTATTGCTGCCATCTAGGTGCATCTAGAGATATATTTACAAAAATGTAAAGGTATGGGGTTTGGGTGTTTTAAGTTTCTACTCAGTGAAGTAGAATTTTTGCTTGCACTGAGATTCTACTTTTAAGTGGCCTTTCAGCTCTAGTCTGTTTTTTTTTTAATCTTCTGAGTATTAGTTTGTGCTTGAGCAACTCCATTTATTTATTTAGAAAAGAATTATCCATTAAATTTCATTGCATAAACAAAAGATCTTATCCCTTGTAAAAACACATCTCAAACCAGAAAGGAACTGTTGTTGCTGTGCAAACACTTTGGCTTTTCTCTGCCTTTCCTTGGATGTGTGAGGAAGATGTTAGCTCTGTTCTGCTCAGGTGAGCTCTCTCAGCTGCAGGAAGTTGAGAGGTTGATGGGAATCTCTTTTCAGTGTTTTCTTGTTTTCTTCACTTTGGAAGTTAAGGCATTTCATAACAGCTTTCACAATTCAGCTTGGAGCTTATCCAGGAAGCTGCAAGTTATCTAAAGCTCCTTAGAGCCTGAAGGAAGAGCATGTGTGGAAGATGCTGAGCTTAAATGTGCATTTCAAACCAAAGGCAACCTCTAAGCAGCTTAGTAGGGCAAGTACCAGAAGATCCTTTGTTTGTCTTTGTGTCTGCTTTTGAGTCCTATAGAATTTCAGTACCATACGTGATCTGATAATCTTCTGTGATACATCTAACCTTCATTGATGGCAGATGTCAAGGAATTTCTGTTTAATCAAGCTTATTTATTTTGGCATGTGTTAATTAAACCTGAAACCAGCCCTTTGATTTCTGGTTACTGTACATTGACTGCATGAGTATGCAGAAGTAAACTGTACTGAGGGCTTGCATAACCATAATTTGAGATAATTCTAGGGCTGCTGAGTCATCTGAAAAGAAATAATTATCCACTCTATTTCAAGTATTGTAGCTTAAGGCAGCTTAATAACTGGGGTGCTTAAATACCCTGGGGTACCTCTGCCTACATTCTGTTACCAAAGTGTTTCAGTTTTCCTAAATACCTTTATTTCTGATACAAGTCTTTTACACCACAAAGATCTTCATGCATTCTTTGTGGTTTATGTGGCTAAAGTTGGCTTCAGCCCTTGTCTTTGCTAGGGAGGAATCAAACTGGCTATTTTTGGAGTTTTGGCACTGAAACAGATTGTATCTTGTTCCTCCTTGTTAAAATTTCATTGGCAATATTATCCAGCTTTCAGTCTGCTTCTTTATGGAGTTGTTTATCCTTGGTTTGGGAACTCAGAAGGAAAAGGAGAGGCTCAATTCCTTGTCCACTAATTTTTGTTATATCAAGGCTACCAAACTGGTGTGACTGCAGAGGATAAGGCACAAAGTGTATTCCAGAAGTCCCTGGTGTTTCTTAATGACTTGTTTATGAATTTTCAGATTTCTGAGTCCTCTTTTAGCACCCATCTTTCATAGCTAGCCACCTTTTCAGATGATGGCAATAACATACTCTACAGGATCAGAAGGTTTTTATTAACCTTATTCTTGTAAAACTCTAGTGAATTTGTATCATGACTAAACTGAGCACTCTCAAGCCTTTTCCCTGTCCCTTGTAAGAGCAGGAGGGTGTCAAGCTGACTGAACTTGAAGATTTGCACAAGCAAACTGGGTTTTGGGACTCTCTTCTCAGAAACAAAATAGCAGAAGTCTTGGTTGTGGACCTTGCCAAGCACTGTGTAATTGTCCAGTGGGTGAATTGAGCTGTCTGGGCAAGACAGCTTGTTCAGAACCAACATTGCTTTCCAGTTTACCTCTTACAGCCTTTTTTCTTAAGGAATTGTTAACCTCTGAATGTGGTCCACATCCTTCACCAAATTTAATCTTGGCTTACTGCAGCCATGAGGATCATGCTTGCTGCAAAGATGTTGTGTTCCAGCTCTGTCTCTTGGATTTTCCTAGTTTGTCAGGTGACAAAACTTCCACTTGTTGTTAATAGGAGCTCTCAGTCTCTCATGTTCATGGCCTGCAAGCTCACTGTTGTCGTGGTCCCAGGGGCAGGACAGTAGGACGCTGCTGTCCTGGCCAGCAGTGTGACAGTGTTGATCTTCAGGCTCTGCTGGCTCACAGGTCTGACTTGGGAATCTCCTCGGGGCAGAGCTTGTTTTGCACATTCTGATTATTCTTTTCATCTTTCTGATAACCTTAGCAGGCAGTGGCAGTGAAGGGAAGACTTTCACATTTGCTTAAATGAAGGTTTCTTTACCAAATAATCTCCTTTCCTTTAGGGGCTTACTATCTGGTCCTGTCAGATCTTCGTTCTTCTCTTGTGTCTTGCAGCAAACACTTTCTGCTTTTTACCTTTTATTCTTAGAATAACTAAATCACTTCTTTCCTCTCCTGCCTTTACCTTTTGCCAGCCACTATAGTGGTCATTTATACAAATTATTAATAGAAATTATTATTAATATAGACAGAATCCCTGGACTGTACATTCTCAAAACTTCTTCCCATTCCTTAAACCCAAGGGTGAGACAAATAGCAGAAAAATGCTTTTCCTGCCCCTGCATCTTATCTACAAGACCTGCTGATTTTTCTTTGTGGGAGTCTATGAACAGCAGCAAGGTGAGGTTACTCAGACTAGGGGCAAACGTGTTTCTTCATGCCAGGGGAATGTCAGGCTTTGCAGAGGCTGGGGAGAATGAGGCACACCAACACTTCTCTGCTTGGTTTTGGCTAGTGGAGAGCAAGGCCTGTGTATTTGTGCTGTTGAACCTTATTATTCTACATGTGGCCTCAGACACCTGCCAACCTTCTACCCCAAAGAGGGTGTCAGGGTGCCCAAGTGTCTAAGGAGAATTTCTAATGGAATTGGTGGCTAAGGTAGATAGGAGATGGAGGTGGAGTTAAAAAGAAAAAGATGAGACTTCACTAAAGGTTCACACCCTGCTGGTTCCTTGCTACAGGTTACAGTCATTCTTCTTTTTCTTAATGTTCTCTCTTGGAGTTGGATATCTCAGACTCTGGCTTGCTAAACTTTCAGTGTTCATAGTTGATAGTGACTACTCAGGCTGTTCAAAGTGCATGGTCAGACGCAGCAAGCAGGTTTTTAGTAACAAAGAAGCTGCTCTTTTTCCTTACTGTGTTTGGTTACTGTGTTGTTTCATCCTTCCCGGATGAAAGTTTGACAAGAAAGTCTCACAGGTATGTATGCTTAGCAGAAAGATTTTTAAATGTAGAGTCTGATGAAGGAATAGACATGAAAGTAAGTTTTGATGTAGAAGGAAAGAATTGCTGAGCCAGTCTTACTGGATAACCAAGAAGGCAAAGGGTGTGTTAGTTAGAAGGGGTTTTTATGACTTAGAGCAAAGGATAAATCCACCTCAGACAAGATGTTTTTACCAAGCAGAAAGATAGCACAGGCAAACAAGTCAGCAAAGTTGCAAGCAGAAAAAAGGTCTCAGAATTTTCCACTGCAAGAAAATTGAAAAACTTCTAGCTTAAACTGTAATGTACTAACTTCTAGTGATTGGAGAATAGTAACATGGATATGGTAATTATAGTTGTTACGGTAGGCCATAGATAAAAGTTAAGGTGTAGATTGGTTCTACCGTATTAAGATACTCAGCAGAGAAAAGTACGTAATGCATTGTAACCCAAACTAAGGGTCTCCAGGCCTGCCTGCAGCTGGAGCTGACAGCTGTAGGCACAGGCTCTGTCACCCACAACCCTGGACTGCTGTAACATCTTGGATGGAATAAATTGCATTTTGGAGAGCTGCCTGGAGCCCCACATCCCTCATTCAGGCTCTTACACTGTGTAACATGATCAAATACTATGTTAAAGATATCTGACTTTTTTCTTTCTGTTGCTAATAAAACTCTTTTCATTCTAGATTTGGATATCAAAACATCAGGGACTGGCTGTGTGAAGATTCAGAAAATAGAATGTGATAACTGCAAAATAGAAACAGAGAAGGGGACGAGTGTCTTGCAGTCAATAAAGGTACAAAGAACCTCCCTCACTGTTTGAGAAGGGATTGTGTGGTAGGATATATAAATACCAGTTCTGGAGATGAGAAGTACTCTGTTATTTCTCATTGCAGCCCTCATGTTGCTCTGTGTACAGCACCTCACCTTGAATTATTGCATACAATTGCAGCGCAAAGTCAAACCAGGGAATAAGGAGGAGTCAGAAGTCCACGTGTCTGTGATAGCCAAAGGCAGCAGGAGCAGTGACAGCAGTGAGCCTGATTCCTGTCTTCCCTACCCTTCAAAAGGAAAAAGAAATAGACTGGGGTTTCCTGTCTAGTAGGTTAATAGTTGTGTCTGCTCAATCAAGACTTTGCAAGTTGCTGCTGATTTTTTTTAATGTGTATTTTTTTTGTTTTTTAATAATTGGTATATCAGAGCTATTGACAGTCCCTTTAAGTTAATTTTCAATCAGAAGTTACACATTACATGTCCAAAATACCTGACTGAAATATATCTGCTATATACTGTATGTATCATAGGCATGAGGTTGTTTTCTCAGTCTTAAGGCTTCAAGTTTGCTGACTTAAGCTGTTATAAAATTAATCACAGTTTATCTGACTTAGATGCTATTTGGAATCAAATTCACTTGATTGTTTGGGATTGAACCTGCAGGAATTGGTATAAATTCAAAAGAAGGGTCAATTTTTTTTGAGATATGAAATTTTTTAACATTTTTTCTATTATGGTAAGAGATGATTTTATAACAGATGTAGGGAAAACTAAGCTTAGGGAGGGGTGTAATATACAATAGAGCTAGGTGTGCTCTACAACTGGGGAACTATAGACAACTTAAAGCTTCCAGATTCTGTGTAATTGTAATTTTACTTTTCTAAAGATACCTAAAATCTAACAGAAGTTAATAGCACTATGTGATGCCCACCTAAAATTTTCATTAAAAATTATTCTGTTATGTAGTAATGACAACAATGAGAAACTGTATAGCATGAGAAAACAAGGTGGTTTTGGGCAGTAATCATGGCATGCCATCACATCAAGAATTTTTTGTGCTGTCATGGAAAAAGATGGTTTTGAGGAAAGACCACCAACTTCTGGGAAGCGTGTCTCAAATGCAATCCAAGATGCGAAATATTTTTCACAAAAAATATTTTGTGAAATATATTTCACAAAAAAGAGGTGGATTTTAGTCTAATCTTGTTTTTAAGTACTATAGTTCTATAAGGTGACTGAGCTATTTTTTTCTGATAAAGCTTCAGGAATTGTACTCTGTATTATCAGAGAAGCAGAATTGTTTGGGAGAAAGGAAGTTTTAGCCTTCAGGGTTTTTCCAAAACTACTAAAAGTGTTATGGACCAGATGCTGTAGTGAAGCATAAGAGCTGATTCCCTTTCTGGGAATTTGCTTTACTGAGCAAACTGAAGTGATAGTGCCCTCCCCTGGATGGATTAAAGCTCTTTTAATGTTGGTTTGCTGTTATTAACAATTCTCATTAACTAACAAAGCAGGAGAGCCTTTCTTTATAGGAGAGAGAAAAGATTGTTGATAAATGACTTTGAATGAAAAAATCTGGTCATGTGGGGATTATTCAAGAGCACCAGCAAACACCTTCACAATTGCTCATTTTCTGAATGAGCAAGAAGTTTTTTAGTATAAATTGTAATTCCAAAAAACATGTTGGTTTTTTTTAATACCATCTATAGTGTCTGTACAAAAGGCTTAAGCATTTGACCTCTACTTTGCTTAATCATGCATACTAGTATTTGAACAGAAAGGAGGAGTCTCTATGAGGCTTATTAATTGGATTTTGTCTGGCAGTTTTGCTGTGGTAGACATTGCCCAGCCAGTGAGATTTGTTGAGGGTGATTTTTATTAAATTGTTTTGTTTTGTTTGGGTGGTGATTGTTTTTTAATTGGCTGAAGTCCAGTTCACCCTATCCCTTCCAAGCCTCTAGGTCAATTGATAGCAATAGTAATTCCCAAACACAGTTATGGCATTTTGGTCTTCTCCAGAGTATGAATTATTCACAAATTCTTGATTGAGAAGACGGTGCTTCTTCTTTTTAATTTTTTTTGTGGTGCTTCTTATGATGACAGTGCCACCAGGGAGACCCTTTAATTTTGCTTCCATGTCCCTCAATTACTCCTGACTCCTTCACTGTGCTGGTTATAACAAGAATTTCCAGGCATCTCTCTCACACTGGCAGAAGACCTGCTGTGCTTCCTCAGCACACCCCTTATCTGAGCCTGATTCATCCTGCACCAGTGTCCTTCTCTTCTTCTGAACAAATTTTTCTGGTTTTCCTCTGACATCTGTTAAGGTCTTGACAGCCTTTTGCCTCTCCCTCATTCAAACCTTTCTCCCTTGTTTAGAGAATTTTTACTATGAAAAATTATTGCTTTTTTCTTTCAGCTGGTGGAATATTTCCTCGTAGTGAAAAAGCTGCTTCACCATTGTAACAGGTTTCTTCTCTCAGCAAATCCTTCTGTCTGCTAGGGGTCTCTAGAGATACCTGCCTCTGAAAGCCTGGTTGGTTTTTTGGGAAGATATTCTAATAATTTGGGATGGGGAGAATTAGTGTCTATGTTGTGGTTTTATTTTACTGATCTATCAGGGGCCACACTGGTGAGCCCTTGCTATACACTGGTTTTTCCAATCTTGCAAATTCCTATATTCTCCTCAAGTTACATATTTGGAGGATTTGCTGTTTAACCATTATTCTGATAACAAGCACAGTGTACCTGCCTCAGAGGAGCTCTGATGGCAGATTGAAGCATTTAATTCATCATGTTACTGTATGAGGAGAGAACAATCTATTTATTTAAATCTCATTTTTTAAAGATTTTTTTTCCTCTTTTACAGATGGCTGTATTTTATTCTCAAGACCTGGTGGAGGTTTTTTGGTTTTTTGAGATTGGTTTATTTTATTTTTTAATATTGTGTATTTCTGTACTTTTTTTTTTTCTCTTGTTGGTTGTATGCAGAAACAGCTGGAAGGTATAAGGGCTATAGAGCAGTTGTTACTTGAAACCTGGCTAATTTGTTAAAAACTGGAGATTTGCCTTAAGCAAAACAATTTTAATTAGAATTTGTGTGCAGTGAAACACTGTAGAATCTGGTTCTGCTTGCAGGGCTAAGGGTTCCAGTGGTTAATGTGGTACAACTTGAAAAACAAGATAACCATAACTGGAGAAGCAGTTAGCCTAACTGTATGATTTTAAAATTTTTTTCAGAGCCATAAAATTGATATAAGGACAAATGGTGGCAAAGTAATTGGTCTTGGAACACTTTATGGCAATACGGATATTTGTGCAACAGAAAAGGGGGTAAGTAGGAAGTAAAACTTTCTCTTCAATGGCTTATTCTCCTAATTTGTTGTAAAAGGACTAAATTAAAAAATGTGCTAAAGAATATGTAAATAACCCTCATTGTAACTTCACTGTTTCTTAGGTTTGTTAAATTATATTATCCTGTGCTTGATTTGGATTGATAAACAGGCTCCACAGAAAGCAGAATAAGTGTGTGATCATTCCATCAGTACAGAGATTGTTCTGCTATTACAACCCATCAGCTTTAATTATATACACCCCTCAGGACATTGTTAAACTTTCTCCTTGGCTAATATGTAGGCATTTGGACTCTGCAGAAGGCTCAGGAGTTTTGGTGGGTAGTGGCTTGATATTTGTAGATGCTGTACACTTCTAGTGTTATGTAAGAATGGAGGAGTAGAAGGTTTTGCAGAATTCTTTGCAGCTGAGGAAATGTAATCACAGGTAATCTTGCTATGAGATGCAGTGGGAAGAATCACAAACAGAACAATTTTGTTGAGAACTAGTTTGGTTTTTTCAGTAGATGGCAGTATGAGACTAACCACAAACTACTGTACGCTGGTTTTGTTTCTTGACATGAGTGGGCAAGACTCCTTTATTTAAAGTAATGTAGAGCTAAACTCCCTGCAGTTCTCACACCCAGTCTTGGTTTTAGGCATTTTAATGTCCATTAAAATACCTAAATGGGCTGCATTAGGATTCCCTGGATCTGAGGTGTTGCTGTGTGAACAAATGGAGCCAAGCCAAGGCTGGGAGTGGCTGTGGCTGTGCTCTGACAGAATCCATGGGCACCTTTAACCAGCAGGAATGGGAAGAACCAGAGAATGGGGTAACCTTCCCTTGCCAGGGTAGATTTGTGCCCAAACTAGTGAGTTCCAGGCATCCAAAGTCACTTCTGTGAAGTGCTGTTTGGCATTGCTGTGCACCTTGTGGGTTCCCAGGTCAGTTCATTTACCTAGAGCCAGCTGTGAGCTGTTCTTGATGCCCTGCTGTAAAGTGAGCAACTTGCCATTGGATTTTCCAAAAACTGTCAGCATTAATTTATCTGTGCTTCTTTGGAAGTGGGTGTTAGACTGCCTTTTGTGTAATAAATGTTATAATTGTATCTGTATGGGAAAATATAGTTCAGAAAATTGTTTTACTTTGAGCTTTTAAAAGCTTTAAAAAAATTAGCTCTTTTCAGAAACATCACCCTTGTGAAACAATAAAACAATGTCATACAGATTAAACTGAAGTGCTTCTTTGTGATCATAAATATTTGTATGTAGTATGTAATATTGCAAGAAGTCAATCTTAGAGTTGTAAAGCTGTAGTAACGTGAGTGAAGTGAGTCATTTTAGCACGAATTCACAGCTACAGAACAATATTTTGGCTTATGTTATTGAACTTCTCACTAACAAATTTTGTAGTGTGGTTAGGAAGGACAGATTTTGTTTCTCAGCTGGCCACTTCTGTTACTAATCAGTCAGCCTTATGTCTCCTCTGTGTGCTTGTGTGAGATGTTTCTTCCATCAGTTGCAGTCATCATTATGTAATTATGGCTCTGTCAGCATTTCCAGCCCCCTCCTGGAGGTGGGGAGGGAGAGGATGTGGTAAAAGGCACTAAGCACTTGGAAAATTAATATTTTTTTAAGGGGGGAAGTGGGAGAAGACACTAGTAAAGCATTTGAGCAATGATAGCAGAAAAAGGAAGGCCAAGAGCAGGAATAGGTGGAGAAGGAGCTGTGTATGTCCTATGTAAGCATAGCAAGATGTCAGTTTTTATCTTGAGAATGTGTTCAGGTGTAAAACCTTCTCAGCCTGACTTGTGCAGATGAGACCAAAAATGGGACTAGAGCATGTGGTCAGTTTCAGGAACTGCAACCCCCAAGGCTCCATGCCCAAGGGAAGGAATTTTTTCCCGAAAATCGGGTGGTTCAATGGCCAAAAATAAAGAAATTGGTTTGCCTGGGGCATTATTGGCTAATCTGTGCCATGGAGACTTTTCTATAACACTTGCTCTGTTGAGCCAGACATCTATGTTCTGCCAAAACTCCACAAGAGTTAAAGAATTTGGGATTGAAAGCATATTTATTTTCATTGAAAAGCAATCCTATTTTTCCATGCTTTCCCCATCTGAAATACTTTTTTATTCTTATACTTTAGCAGTCTGACTTGCCCTTCCTCCCTGCCCTTACCCTGATTTGGGTTGTTCTGAAACAAATGTTCCTTGTATTGGTAGTTTTTGTTTTATTGTTTACAGTAACTTCTTTTGATCTGGAGCTGAGACAACTCTTTTTATTACTTTCTTAAAATTGTGCAATTTTAGGAAAGGCAGTTGAGGCTGGTGAAAGAGTTGGTATGTGAGAATATTTAAAAATTAAGTGCTTTATTGTAAACAAATATATCTAAATAGAATTAAAACTTGCATTCTATAGGAAGAGAGGTAGCTATTTGAATTTCCCTTTGCCTGGTTAGGAATGCCACAAGGCAGCCAGTTTGTATCCAAACTATGCAGATATTTTTATTTTCTTCCTCCCCTTTCAAGTGTGCTTTGCACTATTTTCATTGTGCTGATATTAGTGTTTAAGATCTCTGGCTATTATGGTTTTGTTGCAAGCAGTATTAGATGAAGTCTATTATTATTTTGTTGCAAGTAGTATTAGATGAAAAGCTTCTGTTCAGTAGTGACAAGTTCTACTTCATGTTACTGAATTTTGTTTCTGTCTGTAGCACAGTTCTAAGCAGCAGCACCTGCAGTGATTGTAGGCATTGACTGGCACATATCTCTAATTCTACCATAGGCTATGCGTAGCATTTTGATTTTCTTAAAGTTTAATGTATTTTGCTAAATTATTGGAGATCTAATCAGTATTGTAGCATGGGAAAAGTCTCAAGCCCAGTAGTTCCATTCTGTAATCTTATAATTTAGTAGTTCAGTGTGAATAGATGGCTAAGGCCACAGTGTAATTTGGCTGTCATATAGCCCATACTAAAGCAGCCTCTTCAGCTCAGTTTTTGGGATACAATGCAGCACTGAGTTTGTGTAACACTAGTAGTTATTTGTCAGAATATCTCTTGCTTCAGCCATAGCTTATTCTTTATATAGTATTATACTGGAAGGATTAACAGACTTATTTTTTTATATTAACTTTATTTGCACAAGATGGCAATGCTAAAATGACAAGGAGGATGTAAAAATAATTTGAGTGAGGCACAGTTTGATCTAGAAAGCCATGTATTGTTTCACATAATGAATGAGGATTTTGTGCAATTCACTGAAAGTCTGTATAAGCAAAATAGAAACTAATTGAGTGGGGTTCAGGTATGAGCTATTGCATTCTTCCATCATAAATTTGACTGAGAATAGAATTCAGTTTCATATGGTTGCTGCACAAGCATGCGAATTGTTCTGTGTTGTTCAAACACATTGATGTTTTATCATGTGACTTATCACTTTTGCATAGATAATCTCATCTGTCACCTTTTATTTCCAAAATGTGCAACTTTTCACATTCTATCCTTTCTCTCTGTTTCTATTGCAAAGAAGTAGAAATGGAGATCTTATGCCTGGTTTTTCAAGTCTTTGTGTGTCTTGAGGCTTAAGTCCAAGAATAGAAGCCTGAGTAACCAAGGTAATAGGAAAATTATGCTGAGAAAAAGGGCAGCTGAGTGGAGTTTCTTTGCAAACCTTCACCAAAGATATATCTACAAAGTAAACCAGTTAAAAATCTTCATAAATAGCTGTGTGTAACAAAGACAGAGGATGTTTCAATTTGTGGTGGCAGAAAATTGATCATCAGTGCTCTAAGTGTCATAATGCTGTACGAAGATTCAGTCTTTATAATTAAAGTTAATTATTCATTTTGCTTTTCAGAATGAAGTGTTTAATTCTGAAAACTAAATTAAGCTTTTCTTTCCTCTGTTTGTGACTACTTGGGTTCTTCACCTGAACTGTGGATGTAATAACTCATAGGAATGTTGCGAGGAATCATTAATTCTTAAGTCAGAGCTCTTGGATGGAAAGGTTTTTTGTTTTATCTTGTGTAGCTTTTAGCTAAGAACCTGATTCCATTTTTCCTGCCCCAACAACTGCTTTCCATTTGTTTTGTGTCTTAACAGTGTTACTTCCCACTGCTTTTTCAAACTGTGATGACAAATTGTTGATTGTATTTATTTCTCCTAGAGTGTAAATATAGAGAAGCTGCAGGGGACAACCATCAATATATCCACTGAAGATGGGCTGCTGAAAACTAAATATCTCTATGCAGAATCAGCATCTCTCTCCTCAGAATCTGGTGATATTATGCTGGGAAGTGTTCATGGTAAGAAGGAAGTCTGTCACAAATGAAGCTGCTTTGAAGGTGTTCAGTAATGTTCACAGTAACAAATGGACCAATGCATAGACTGTCACTAAATAAGCTGTGCACAGCATGCAAGCAAAACAGTTCTATTTCTATTAGAGACAACTGATTTTTTGCCACCTAGCAGACTGTATTTTTGAAAACAGTTTCATAAGCACACTTGTTAATAGCCAAAAGCATATATTATATGAAAGAAATGTCTTTCATATAATAACACATACTAAGAACATAAAAATATTCTAAAATTCAGCAATGGAAATGATACTAAAAGTTGTCAGCAGGCTTCTCTTCCCCTCTCCCCATCTTTTATTTTCTTCATAGGAAAAGCTGATCTCTTAGACAGATAATCTACTAAGAACTATTGTAGGAGAGAGTCATAATGAGAAGTTTTTATTAGAGATAGCCTGTGTGTTTGCTGGCATCTTATGTTGAGAGTGATGACAGCTTCTGTTTTTAGAAGAAGTTCTTAGAACTTCTTAGCAGTCTCTAAACCATCCACCCTTGGGTGTCCTTCCCCTAGATCTAAAACTAATAAACTGCAGAGTATTTTATTGAAGCAGCAGCTGAGGTTCAAATCTGGTGTGGTTTTCTAATTTAACAAAACTCCCACTGAATTCAGACTGTGCTATAAAGCATTTGTGGTGATTTAACATTGAGTAAAACAAACTGGAAGATGCACAAAGAAAATTACTCCGCTCTGTCAGAGTTTCAGATTTTCAGCTATATCCCTTAAAAAGAATTTTCTACAATTGCTAAGAAATTATGTTGTCATCTTGCTTGAAAAAATACTTCTTTCTTCCTTGAAGGAGCAACTCCTCTGTCCCTTTATATTAAATGTGAGAATGGTTTCTAAACCTGTTAGGTAAAGTTAATTTTAGCATGCACTGACAGAAATAAGCTGCTTTTTCTCCTGTTATTGTATTTTTCTAACATGTAGGTTTGTATTATTTCTGGAACTTCTGTCTGATAAACTGTGCTAGTTTGGCTTTTTCTAACTTTATACAGTATAATTATATTGTGGAGTGATCAATTTGTGAGCAGGTCCAATCTTTGTGCACATCCAAGAGTTAATTTTTATTTTCTTGTTACAAAAATGAAATCATAACTGCTGTAGTTAAGAACTTACTTTCTTCAGTAATGCTTCTTGCCATTAAGCTGAAAAACAATGTGAAAACAAATAGAATCGTATCCAAATTATGCAGACATTTCTTATGTTACTTCAGAATTATTTTTATGACCTCTCTACTAAATGGGCCTGGAACACCTAATGTTATTTTAGCTTTAAAAAAAAAAATTGCACATTAACATTTGCTTGGTAATTTTACCCTATTTTTTGAGGAGAAAAATATTTTCTGTACAATATCGTGTTCCCCAATCATGTTTTAATAGCCAAGGCTTTTAAAGTACACAAACATGTATTAGCAGACAAGATAACTCCTAATATAAATTTCTACTATTAAAAAATGGTGTCTTTCACTTCTGATTTTTGCTCATGAGGTACCTTGATTCCAATGGTTTTGTCTGTAAACACCTGGACAGATTGTTTGTTTCTTGGGCAGTTGAAGTCACCGTTTCCCTACAGCTGACACCATAGGTGGCATCAAATCAGCACATCCTGCACAAAACTAAGCTGGATTTCATTGCTTTTGCACTGGGAAAATTGAAGTTAGGGCAGCACAGACTTTACAAACCTGTCTGAGACACATTTTGTGGTTGAAACTCAGGCTGTAATATCAGGACACTCAAACTTTCACAACTGCTTATTTGCTTCATGCTCCTCTGGCAAAGGAGTAATGCATTGTTTTAAAGGAGTTTGTTTTGGGTAATTTTCATGAGCTTCTGTAACAGGCATTAGAGGTGTCAGGTGCTATTAAGCTTTTGAGTTGACACCTGAAAAAGAAATTTGATCCTGAGGAATTTCTTCTTTATCTAAGAGCCAATACCATTACAGCGAGCCTTCTCTACCAAGGGGCATATGGGAGGAACAGGAAACCCCTCTTTGCAGCAGTCCCAAAGTCTTGGGTTGAGTTGCATTAGCTATTAATTTATTTAATAAATCTAGTTTAAATTTGGATTAGATATCAAATTCCTTCCCAACTAATGTTTAAAGTAGGCTCAGTTAGACCAAGCTTGCTCAAGCCTTGTCTAGATAAGCTTTGAGTATTTTCAAGTCGAGAGTTTGTATGACCTTTCTGTTTGTCTTGGTCCACCTCTGAATTATTTTTCTGGCAGGGAAAAAGTGTTTTTTAATCATAATTTCCATTACTACTTGTATGCATTATTGCTACTTTTTCCTCCTCCTTGTTGCACCACCATGAGAAGAATGTCTTTTTTTCTCTGTACCTCCCATTAGGTAGTTGAAGGCCACAAGAACACTCCTCAGCCTTCTCCTTTTAAACCAAAACAAACATGCTCTCAGGGCATCTCTAGCTTGGTCTGGGTCCCTGATCTTCTCAATAGCCTTCTCTGGCCTTAGTTAAGGACACCAGTGTCATTCTTGACTTGAAAGCACAGAACTGGACACAATATTCTAAGTGCAGTCTCACAGAATGTGTTGACATTGTGCAGCATTGGTGGTTCTGCCATAGGAGTATGTAGCTAAATGGAATTTGATTTCTACATGTTGCATATTTTTCAAGGGTCTACTTATGAAAACAGGTAAGAAAACCCCCAGAAAAATGCAGAACAGCCCCAGGGGCTGTATGCTTACAGAATTTGATCTACCTTCAGCTGCTCCATGGGAGCTGCTGGCTGACAAAACCCCGGGTCTTTTTGTAGGTTGTACCAAACTAAGTGCCAGCCATGATAAAATGAGGGAAAGGATGGGATAATCATAGCATGGATTTTAAAACCAGCAAAGAGTGAAACCAAACATCTTTCAAGGTCGTTGAAAACTGCTTTTGTTTCTGCTCTGATTTTTAGAACTCTCAAGTATTTTGTACAGTATCTGCTTGAAAAGATGAATTTAAGACTGTTGATGATAGGCTGCTTTTCTAGCTTTCAGCTCATGAACCACTAAGAAAAATACAGGTCATATACAGTGGAATGCACTCTGCCCTAATGGTTGTTTACTACTGTGTAATTACACAAGATAGGGTAGAGCTTAATCCATCTGCAATTTTTAAAACCTCTTCTGAAAATCTGAAAATTATGGTTACTGTGTATTGCTGAACTGCCCTCAGTTTCTGTGATCAGCATTAGTCTTCATTCTGCCTTTCTCTTGGGAGGATGAGAGAATGGCAGGGATGACATGGTGTGGTTTAGTTTTTAATTTAGAGCATTTTCTGTGACACTTTTATGCATGGAAATGGAGAAGTTTGTACAATTTAGTTAGACTGTTAGTAGGATAGATGTCTCTTCTGTTAGGAGGTACATCTGTTGTCCTTCCAGATTCTCTTAATGTTGTAGGTGAAAGGGCAGAAAAAGTATTTTGAAATTTCAAGGCTGGAACACTTGTGCCTGTTTAAAGTGATGCAAGTTCAGTAGAAGACCATTCTACATTTTGTGCCTTACACACTTTGTTTGATGTTCTCCACTTTGTCCAACATACTCTAACTGAAGTCAATGGAAATGTTGACAAGGGGTTATCATGCACAAAACTCTTACAAAATGTAAGAGTTTTGTGTACTCTTAACAAAGAGTAAGTTTGGAGGGAGTAGGAAATGTTCAGTGGGTCCAGGAAGTTGCCTTTGCAGATAACACACAAGATTCCCTCCAGCAGAGATGGAGTGTAGGTATATAAAAAAGGAAAACAGAAACTGTTTGTTATTCATGCAACTGAATTTAAATCATCTCTAGTGCTGTTGCAGGCATCAGAGCAATTAACAAAAAATTGCCCAAAGTAAATTAAGGCAATATTGTGCATTAGCCTTGCACATGCCTCTCTACATTTTTTTTCTCCCTCAAATCCAGGTGGTATCTTTGAATTCACTCAATATCTTTCTTGTCTGGAATCACTTAATTATAACCCATATATATTGAGACTTTTGTTTGTAAAGCAACAATATTAATAATAAATAAATAATATGTTTCAATAATATGTTTTTAACATTTTTCCCCTTTTCATTATAGGTAATACCAACCTTCAGACCAAAAGAGGGAGTATCACAGTAGGTAGGTTCTGCCTTCTCTGTCTCTTTTGCTCTTCCCTTATCCTTTCTAAAGACTAAATATTCACAGGGGAAGTGAAGAGGAGGTGATTTCACACAGATGTTTTTGCCTCATTTTCAGGAGTAGCCCTGATAAGTGTGGCTGAATAAGACCCTTGCCAAACTCAGCCTTTTGTGGTTGGGCAAGGCTCAAGATCTCACTGGACTTTGCACAAGTGAGGCTGAGTCTAGCTGTCATCTTTTAGATATAAATGGGATAAAAGGACTGAGAAAATTCATAAGTCTACATCAAATGCAGTTACGCCCTTACTGTAGTTCTCTCTCTTACATTTATTGCTGTCAGTGATTAGCTATATTTAATTTTTATATCAGGAAGCTAATCATTGATGTATTACTTATTTGAGGAGGTAATGGGAAGGCTTGTGATAATTTCAGTATCCTCAAACTATTATGCCAATAGTTTTTCCTTCAGAAATGGAAACAGTTCATAAACCTTTTCTTGGGAAGCTGGGAATTTATATGACAGGGTAACTCAGAGCTATCAGTTATGGTGTACCTTATATCAGTGCTTTTTATAGCACACAAACACCAAAGTGAGAAACTCAAATTCTAATTATTGATATGGCAGGAAATTGAAGTAACACTGAACTTTGTCTAAGATTTTGTATATTTTGAATGTAGAAAGATTTCCTCAGGCCCTGATCTTGAAGATTTTAACTGTAGGCACTCACTAAGCATGTTCCAGGGACCATCTCTAGGATGTGTTCAGGGACTGTTAACAACTCTTCTTGTGTTTCTAAGAGCTCTGTATTAGCATTCCTGGAAAATGAATGCAAGACACATTCTTATGAGTTAGTCATTAAACCACAGAATTAAATTCAACTTGCTAGGCTGTTTTTCCTTTTCTTAAATAAACTCATAGGGTATGAAGAGTGTTTAAATAAAGGTTTCTTAATATAGGAGGTAGCTTTTTCCATCAACAGATGATGATTATTTTCCTTAACTAACCAGGTTCAGCTTTTAAGCATTGGGACACTCTTACTGTTGAAGAAACTTTATTTTTCAGACTTCAATTCTGACAGCACTAGATAGTCTTCATCTTTTCCTAAAGAGCACTAAACATCCCTGGTATTTTTATGGGTTTTTCTAAAGGTAAAACACTTGGAAGATTCAGACTTTCAACTCTTAAAATGTGAGAACACCTCCTACTCAACCAGTTTGCTGAAGGCCTTATCCCTTATTTCAGTTGGAAGGGTCCCACAGTGACCATCCAGTCCAACAAGAGTTGGAGTGTCTTGTTTGGAGGCTCTTTAAACTCTGACAGGCTTGGGGCACCAGCCTCTCTGGGAACCCTGCTCCAGTGTTTGACCACTCTGTCTGTAAAACAATCCTTCCTAAAAAAGAACCATTCCCATGCAAGCTTTCACTGGGCACCAGGGAGAAAAGCTCAGCACCTCCTTGTGCCCTTCCCCTCCCCAGGAAGCTGCAGAGAGCACTCAGCTCACCCCCAAATTCCTTTTCTCCAAAGCAGGCAAGCCAGGTGGATTGGTTGTTTGGGTTTTTTTGGAGCAGAGCAATTTATCAAAAAGAGCCTTTACAACCAATGGATATAATTGAAAATTGGGATAGAAAATAGATCATTGATAGGTAAAAGGATAGCCTGGATAGTTTAGTTAGGAAAGAAATTGTTTCCTTGAGAGATTTCTTTGCTTTGTGTGTTGCATCATTTGTTCTGCCAGGTCCCCATGGTGAGTATGGTCAGGACTGCTAAGGATTTTTCAGTTATGTGTGCAATTTAGTGAATTCTTATTAATAATAATGAAGTCTATTTAGTGAATACATTTCAGTTTCTTATAATACTTTTCATATGACAGTTCTAGAACAATGAACTAAACCAAGAATTTTTGCCAGTTTTCGATCAATAAGAAATACTAGATAGATAGCTGAGCAGGAATTCAATCTTCATCACACTTCAGATACCTTGGAGTTTCATGCTTCCTCCAGTCTATAATCAAATAATGATAAATATTTTGTGTTCCTATAGAGATTGATTTTTGTCACTGATTTTACCATAAACAAGGTCAGTCTTTAGGTGCTATTAGGAAAAGCATGTTTTTACTTAGATTTAAATAAAGATCACTTGTGTTTAATCCTTTCTTTAGTGCTAGGCTGATAAAGTGATGCTAAATGTTACCTTTGTAGGCCTTTCACTGTTCTTTTTGTGCAGTCTTTCTCAAGTTATGTGACTTTGGTTTTATTGTTCAAGCTCTATTTATTTCCATAAAACTTAACAGACTTTTGTCCTTCCAAGGACATCTTGCTTCACTGTGCCCTTTTATTTAATCTTTTTTTCTCTAGTACCAGTAAATTCTTAAATAGCTAAAGCTGCACAAGGCTGACCATCTGTTCTATTTCCAGTAAAAGGCTTTGTCCTTGTTCTCCTCCTTGAAAAACCTGAAGAAAACCTTTTCCCTGTTGGTCCTTAGCAAACTCTGCATTCAAACTATACATTTCTTCCTTATTTTTACCTTCAGTTATTCACATTCATATCAGCTAGCACTGGGTATATATTTGAAAATAAATTGCCTTAGGTTTGATCTGTCATAACCATAAAATATGTATTGTCTCCATTGCTGTTTGCTATGTATTTTATGCTATCAGCCTATGCTTCTTAGTATGGGGTAATTTTTCATTGTTGAAATATTTATTTATATTTGTGCACTCTGTTGTTCCTTATTCTTGGGGGTTTTTAAATCAATTTTCCTTTTATTCCCCTTTATTTGTTAAGAGAGACACAAACTTAAAACAGGATCTTTATGGACTCTGCAGAAGTGAGGAACAATTCTGTGTTTCTTGGTATTCTTAATTGTATCTACACACTTGTATTTAATATCATGTCTGTAACATTCATTACAGAAATCATATTAATTTGTTTCCATGAAATATATTTCATGTTACTTCCATAGGTCAAAGCTTAACAGTTGTTTACTGTGCAGTATTGTAGTGTCAGGTTTAGTGTTTGATAGTGCTGCCAAGCTTTTGGTGGTTTTGAAACTCTGCTGAAGTTTCTTTAGCCATAGGAAACTTTGTATTAGTGAGGTACTCTGGGGAGTCAAAATCTGGCAAGTCATCCTCCCAAAACAGTGTTCCTCAATGGAAAAGTGTTCCATTTCCCTCAAGGTTGTTTTTGGCTTTTCTGGTAAATCTGTGCCCTGGTGAGCCTGTCCCTTCTGCTCTCCTCCTGCATCCTTTATTTTGATGCCTTCTGCAAACACAGTCCAGTCTCTCAAATTTATTTATATTATATTTATAATTATATTTATTAATTTATTTATATTTATTAATTGAAGATCCTGGAACACTTTGTTCAGTCTTGCAGATTCACAAAAGATATCTTCCCACTGGGAAGAATCCCACATGAGCTGCTTTTGCATTTGGGAAGTGGGAAGAGAAAGGCTTCAGGGGATCAATGTTGTCCCTCTGAAGCACCATCAGCTGGTGGAATGTGGCCTGTTTGTAGCTGTTCTCCCTGGAGAGAGCTGCTCTTCTGTCACTGGAGACTCTTCTTCCTTCCTAGAATAGATAAAGGAACTTATTCCAGGTTCTGTTTAAAGCAGAAGAGTCAAAGCCAGGATGTTTCCTGTATCTGTTGCCAGCAAAATCTCTGTCAGGGTTATGTGGAGTTGGTAATTGGCTGTTACTAAATTTGATGGGGAATCTCTGCAAAAACAGCCTTTGCATGAAAACTTCTAGTGATCACTGCTTAAAAAGTGCATTAAAAAGGTTGATGCATGTCAAATTTTCCACTTCTAATGACTTTACCTTTTCAACTATTATGAACAACCTTTTAAAAAATCACCATTTAAAATCAATATTTCATTTTCACTTAGACAAGCAAAACTCTTCATTGTTAATGAAGAGTTAATTTTCTTTTTTCAGATTTTGAACAGACTTTCTTTAGTACAGTCTTGAAATGGCAGAAGCATTCACATCCAGTTCTAGTTATTAATGTTTTCTTTTTAGCCAAAGCCCTTCTCAGTTTCTCAGCTGACTAAGTATGGATTAGCTGGGTTCTTTTGATTACTTTCCCCTCCAAAGAAATCAGCTTTAGCTGTGGGATCAAGATTCTTTTCTGTGTTTTTGCTGTTGTAAGCAATGCACTGATCTTTGGCATCTGTGCTTGAAACCTGGGATCAGAAAAGCTCCAGATGAGTTTACTTAGAGCTAAAACTGTATGGCAAGTATAAAATGTTAATTTGAGACATCCTTGTTAGTTAATCAGGTTCATTCCCTCATTAATGCTTTTCCTTTTTAAAGCTTTTTCATTCAAGTTTCTTTTTAGCTACTTCTAACAATTTGGTTGTTGGGTTTTTTCTATGCATATTCAGAAACCAGTGTCTATCAGTGTCTCAGGATTTCTTGCCAATACTTTAATTTCTAGCATTGTCTCTAAAAATACCTCTCAGTAACTGCCTTTTGCTTGTGTACCAAGGTATTTTTTTATGCTCCTCTAGATTTTGTTTTTTATAATTTCTTTGCAATTCTTATTAGGTATAAATGTGTTCAATAGTTTGAACTCAGTAGTTTGAAGGTAGTTGAACTCTTTGGGACTTCACTTAATATTGTGGAAGTCTATGTGTTTAAAATTGGAATACATTGCAAATAGACTACTCAAGTATACACTTAAAGCTTCTTAAAGGCTTTCTGTTTGTAAAAATGCTTCTTTGCAAAGTTGTATGATCATAAATTTCTGCTAATAAGGTATAAAAGAAAATTTAGGCCTCTCTATTCCAAGGCACAGAACAAATAATGTTGTTTTCCTGGACATATTAAACCATTGTTGATAACTCAGATGTAGTGAATCAGACTTTACAAATCAGCCTGTGTTCAGTTTTTCTGTGTAACAAGATATTGCAGTGCACCCCTGCTTGGTTTCTTGGTTTCTGCATGGGGTAGCTTTCCTGGGTAAAGTTCTCCCTGCACAGGGTCTGAGCAAATGAACTCTTTTGGAAGCTAAAAGAGATATTAGTATTCAAGTTTCATGCTTGATTTTCACACAAAGACATTCCTGTAGAAAGATGTGCACTGTTGGGCCCTTGTAATGTAGAATAACTGCAGAGCCACAGCCTGAGGAGCAGAGTGTGCCCCAGTTCTGGAGTGGGGAGATAGAGTAACAGGTTTCTGAAAAATCCTAAGTGAAGGCTGACAGTCTGTAAATTATTTTGTATGTGTATATTATGTAAATTATTATGTATATTATGTATAATCTGTAAATTATTATGAATATTAATAAATATTATTATTCTCAAGCACAAAAGAATTGATAAAAATCAGCTTGAGGTATAAAGAAATATTCTGGAAAATGTTTACTTAAAAAGAGTGATGATACACAAATTCTTTCCTTTTGTTTTTTAGATTCATCAGATGGAAGTCTAAAAGCTTCTACATATCATGGGACAATAGATGTTTATGTCAGTCAATTAAGAAAAGTGGATCTGAAATCCCAGAAAGGTTAGCAAACTAAATCAAATATTTTTTCTAGCAGATTTTGATGTAAAAGAAAAGGAGATAAGGGTTTGTTTTGGGGTTTTTTATCTGTCTGTGAAAAATAGTTTCCGATTGTTGGTAATTTCCTTTTTTCTGGTATCATTATTGGAAGATGTCTGTAAATACTTGAAATACAATAAGCTCTATCAGGGACAAGAATACTTAAGATGGATTAAATGTGTTTGTGTTTTTCAATGTTTCTCTTTTTTTTGTCTGGCAATATGCCCAGCAGAATTCTGCTAGGCTGGCTAGGGTTACAGTGTTCCTTTGCCTTGAGCACAGTTTTCTCCATGCTGCTGTATGTGCAGTGATCACTGGCACACATACATTTATTTTTCTTGCCTTCTGATTGAAATGTCCAACTATGAAAATTTGAAGGCAGAAAAGCAAAGATGGGAGAGCCTTACATTACCATTTTCCTTCTTTTTCTCTCCTGCTTACTCAGTTAAATTCCTCTTCACAGTTAAAAGCTCACACACAAAGTTGAATTAATATCTGTTTTGCTGAATTCATTCAGTTTTGGCATTCTGAAGATATGATACTGTAAATTACAGAGCCCTGAATGCATCTTGTTAATCCTGGTTTGGAAAAAAAGAAAGAAAACACCAAAAACCCAAAATGCCAACAAACAAAAAAAATCCAAACCAAGCCAAAACACACCACAGCATTTTTATACTTGACTTTAATGTCATGTCAGACACTTCAGGTGGTTTGGTCCACTTCTGTCTCCTGTGAAACAAAGCCTGTGCCCTGCTAAATGCTAACAGTTACTCAAAATGGGACTCATGATGTCAATGAATTGAAATAATTTGTGCATCTTTCTGTACAATCTATTTTGGCTTCATCAGTGCAAAGATGTTTATTTTTATTTTATTTCTTGGTTACCTTTAGTATCACTTATTTTGCTAAGTTAATATCTCTTTGAGCTAGAAGAAAAGAGGAATGTATTCAATAAAAGCTAATTAATGTTATTTTCAAAATATTTTCTAACATCTCTTCTGGCAGCACAGTTTAGTAAAGGCAGAGTTGAAGCTCTGTTTACCCTGTAAATTCAGAGTAACTGCCGACAGCTGCAGTGTAGAAAATGTCCCACTTGTGCTAAATGAGCTGCATGTGTGCTGGGTTTTGTGAGTCATCACTGAGCAACCCTCCAAAGAGGACCCAAAGACGAAGACCTTTTCCCTTTCCTATTCTAAGGCTTTTGTGTGTCCAGCAAAATGCAGGCCTAAATTATACTGGAAGTTATTTGCTCATCAGAGCTGTCACAGGCAAGTGATTCTGCTGTGTGTGAATTGCTCAGCCAGGGTTGCTTTCTGGTGCTTCTTTGCTGTTATCCTTACCATGTTCTGCTGAAGCTTCTGGGATGGATGTCAAGAAACTTTTATGTTTTTCTAAAGTAAATGTTGAAATTGAGCAAACACTAAGGAACACATAAAAAGGAAGCATATTCTGAATTTCTCATGTTTTTGATCTAATGTGTAGGAGAGAGCTCTCAGACTTTGTGACTGAGTTATTCCAAAGATGACTAATGTGGCCAGGTTGGGGGCCCCGTGTCTGCCTTTGGTCTGATGCATAGATATTTAGGGGCAGCAGAAGTCAGAATTTCTGGTTTTAATCTCAAAGTAGAATTATTCAGGCCACCAAAGCAGCAATTTTGCTACTAGCTTACATTTTAGTGATGCACAGTCTAAACTGGTAAGTCAGTTTTGAGACTGCATCTGTTGGGGGATGTGAACAGCTGGCCCTGAGCAGTAAAGCAAAGACAATTGCCAGTGTTCACAGTGAGTGAGCAGCACCTCATCCTTCCAGAGGAGCAATTCTTTCATCATGTGCCATGCAGTGACTGGGTTATTTGTCAAGTCTGCCCTGTCCTTGCTCTGGAATATGAATATACAACTAGAAGATGAACTTAGTGAGATCTATTATATTTGCTTCCCTTGATCATTCCTGTAAAAACATCCTCTACCAAACTATTTATTTTCATGTCTGTGAAGGAAATGCTGTGATGCCATTTTCTATATATGACATACTCTGTTTATGATAAAGGAAGATACCTTCATTTATCCTTTCAGTGACCACAAACAAGAGGTTACTGTTTCTGAAGACTTTAAAAAAAACCCAACCAAGCACAACCAAATGATGATTTGATTGGAGTTAGTGAAATAATGGAGCATTTCATGCTTTGATCTCAGGGTTAAACTAACTAGCTTGCACTTCATTTTATACCAGGTTCAATTACAGTCAAGGTACCTGCATCTCTCAAAGCCTATTTAGAGCTGTCTGGAAGAAAAGTGGATGTAAGCTCAGAGATCCAGTTAAAAGAAACACAGAGTGCCTCCAAAGATGATCATGTAACTCTAAGTGGTAAGGCTTACTAATCTTGGCTTCCAATAAATGTCTGTCTGGCCTAAGTCAAAGGCATCTACATTTCTTTATTAGTTTATTGCCGTTGGCAGCTGCTTGTTTAATCTGCTTCACTTTCAGATGTTTGCTTGTGCTGTTCTACTCCCCATGTTACTGGAGGACTTTGAAATTTTATTTGGTAAATGACTTGTGAATGTAATCAACTTCTAACAAAAGCCTTAGAGCCAAATTCCTCCTTAGTGTTAGTCCAGTGAATTTGTGGGAGATAATTCAGGGCTGAATTTGACCCATTGCTTTGTTGGCTTAGAAACTCACATAGACTTTCCTAGGCAATCTATTATATTCAAAATATAATAATTAAAAAAATCTGTCTGACTCAAAGGGAGAAATAAAAGGGATAATGGCATATTTATAAATAGTATGTAGTGCAGGATAGGCTGAGAAATGATGGGTGGGAGATGAGAAGAGCAGAAGAAGCTGGAGCTGGAGGAATAGAGACAGAGTACATGGAAAGGTACCTGCAATTACTGGAACTATTCTTGTAAGGCAATTAAAATTGAATCCCAGGTCTTGCTATTTCCTGCTTTAGAAAACAGTTGCACAATTCACTGTCAGGGTGTGTATTTCTCTCCCCCACTCCAGATGTTGCTATCTAGAAGTTAAGGCTGTTGCTTTTACCAATTCCACAGTTTGCTCTAGAGAAAACATTAACTGAGTGTGTCTGAGGGCTCCAGCTCTGTTTGAATGTGTTATGTCAGTGTGACCTGCTGTGACAGCAGATGGGGTAAGGCTTGGAGTTTTAAACCTAAGAAAATATGCACAAAAACTCTTTTCCTCTCCCATGTAAGATGGGGATCTCAGAGTCAGGAAAACATTGGAACTGTAATTATATAATTTTAGGATGTAGCCTGCTTATATATCTCTTCCTGCCTAGGAACAGTAACTAGCACTTAAATTTAGTACTGGTTATTAAATACAGTTTTTACAAAAACCATAATTAGAGGTTGTCAGGGTAGAAATCTGTGGAAGGACCCCAGGTTCTAGCATGACTTGGTGTAATGAATCACCTCAGCAGTAAAATAAGACTTCTCAGTGAATGAGGACCACCAGCCAATCAATCATCGGCTACTTTGGCAACATTAAAGATAAGGACGGTGTTTCAAATATCCCCAGCTGAATGACTTCTCTGGTTTCACAACCCAGTCAGTGTTTGTGTGGGACAGTCATCACTGAAGCAGATGCAATTTTTCCCACTGTTCTGTATGGAACCACTGTTCTGTATGGAAATGATCTTGGCACTTGAGGCCAAAAGCAGAAACTCTGATTAGTTAACTCTCAAACATACATGTCCCAAAGGCACAGAAATCATCAAGAATTCTGCAGAGGCAACAGCATTAGGCCAGTGCTTATCAGTTGTTTAAAGAAGTTGCAGCATTACATAGAAAGAAACAGGAAGTAGTTCCCTATTTCTCTTTACCTTACAGTGTATTCTTTCTGCACTTGTCCCCTCACTATCAACAATTGCTTCTTCCTAAAGGTGATATTTGGTAATTTTCTTGTACAAGTAGATTTTCAAATAATTGAAAATCATTTAATACAATTCCTGTATCCTGGGGCATTATTCACTGTTGAAGTTTCAGGTACAAGATCCATAGCTGTCCTGCTGTTGTGACTGAAGAAATGTAAAATAGAGAGTGAAGAGGGGCTTTGCCAAGTGGTTAAAAACTGTATCACAAGAGCATGGCAGTTGAGGAGTTTTATGCTTTTGAGTTCAAAGATTAGTTCAAAACCAGATGATTTTTCAGAAAATCCAATTCTCATGTGAGTAACACAGGCACTGTGACCTTTTAGGAAGCTTTGCTTGCCTCTGGGAATACATGAATGTGTTAGAGAGAAGGCTGTCCAGGGGGAAGACAGGGCAGAGTTCTGTGACTTGCTTAAACATGCAGATATTCCTGCACTTTGCTGCTCTAGGAAATCCTTCCCTGCTGCTTTAGAGCAGTTCTCATGTGCCCTATCACCCCCAGTTCCACACTGAGGGCAGTCAGTGCACCACAGCCCCACCAGCACCTCCAGGCTTGGTCAGTCAGCCAAGGAACAGAGTGGGATTTAGTGAAAGCAGGATGGTGGAAGTCTGCAGTGAGTGCTCCAGAGACAAAGGATGGGAGTGGGAAAATGGGTTTGCTCTTTTAGGAAAAGAAGGGACTTTCCTGCAAAATGGAGACACTTGCTGAGAAAGGGAGGGAACTGGAGAGCAGTGACAGGGAGTTTTCATTCTTTGAAGTAATTTGCAAGAGCAAATTACATCTGTTTCCATTGGCAGTCTTGAAAGCAGTATGTATGCTATAATGAAATGTTACAAAAACAGAGTTCATGCTCAGCACTGGTCCAGCTTCCATCAGTGGAAGTGTTTGGCTGCCTTTACAGTGCTTGAGTAATTCCAGTAATTTCTGATTGCAATCATGTCAAGGTGTAAGGTGTTCTTTCTTTTCCCTGGCTAGAAGAGAAGCCCTTCCTGCTCAATGTCTGCCTGCTCCCTGTCTCCAGGTGTGCCTGTGTTCTTAAATCTTATCTATAGGTACTACATGTGGTAAGAGAAGGACTAGCAGGCTAAAAAGTGTCAAATATTTAAGCAGAAAATGAACTTAGAAAACTGTTATGTCAAAGGGCTTGCAAGCATGTTGAAGGTCAAGGTTAAAGTTCATATAATTTTGATTCACATGCTTTTTAGGCCACTTTCCAATAAGTTAAGTTCTAAGTACAAAGGTAGGAGCAATTACCTGTGTAGTCCCGAGAGGAGCAATATTTAAATAATATCAGGAAACAATAGTGTTACACCATTGAAAACAAACAGCATGTTAACATGATTGTTCTGTAAAACTCAAAATAATCCTTTGGCTTTACATGGCATTAGTAATACTTAGCTGGAATGTGTCCAGTTTTGAGTACTGTGCTTTGAAACTGTAGAGTCTCTCAAGGAGAACATGTGATCAAAGTCCTGAAATCATGATTAACAAGAGAATGAAAAGTTCTGGTTTTGTCTCAAAAGAGAAAACAAAGGGAAGGGAAGATGCATTCTTCTAGTATGTAAGAAGTTGCTACAGAGAAATAAAGAGATAAATTGTTTTGTCAACTGGCAGTAGGACTAGAAATTATAACTTGACCTTATATAAAGGAAACTTAACTAAATAGCAAGATAAACTTGCTTGTAGCACTTGTCTGGGGGGCAGTAGGACTGTCAGTGCTGCAGGTTGTGAAGACCAGGTGAGCATCTCAGACTAAATTCAGTGCTCAGGAAAGGCTTCAGCCCTGGTGTCTCTTGTCTCAGGTTGATGTGACCATCTGCTCCCCCCCACCCCACAGTAACAAAGGAAGGTTATCAGGCATGTGGGTGGATGGGGACTGAATGAAATGCAGCCACTGGACACACTTCAGCCACTTTGGTTGCCAACTTGTGTGTTGACCACTGTGAACTTGCTGGAAAAAGTCTTGCAGTCATTCAGGGACTCTGTTTGAATCCTTGTAGCAAATGGTGTCAATTTCCAAACCTAATTGTCTGGAAAATAACCCATGTAAATCTCATCTTTGAGTGATGCCAGGGATTCACCTGATTTTGGATGTTTCTCCATCCCTGCCCCAGTTCTAGTGCCAAGTTCATATCCAGTGGCAACCTTTCACCTGATGCCATCTGCTTGGTGCTGAGGAATCTTTTAACTTTGCAGGCAATTCATCTGGTTTGCAGCAGCTCTGTGAATTTCCATGGTAAATGTCCCACTGTCACAGCCACATTTTCCGAAAAATCCTTTCCTTAGGATTTTTTCTTCTGAGAAGCTGAGAGGCCTCAGGAGCAAAATGTAAGCAATGGTTATCTGCTGCTGTGGAATGCAACAGGTGCATCTGTGATTGGTCTCATGTGGTTGTTTCTAATTAATGGCCAATCACAGTCAGCTGGCTCAGACTCTCTGTCTGAGACACAAGCCTTTGTTCTTAATTCCTTTTCTATTCTTATCTAGCCTTCTGATGAAATCCTTTCTTCTATTCTTTTAGTATAGTTTTAATGTAATGTATATCATAAAATAATAAATCAAACCTTCTGAAATATGGAGTCAGATCCTCATCTCTTCCCTCATCCTAAGACCCCTCTGAACACTGTCACAGTCCCACCATGCCCCAGGTGCTCCTCAGAGGCTGTGAATATTTGTTGTTGTTACTGTGTCTCCCTGTTTTTACCTTCTCAACTGGCAAACCTCTATGTTTTTCTGTCTCTACACAAAGAGCTTATGCTTTGGTTTTTTCCCAAGTGGAGACATGCTTGCTCCCAGTTGTTGTCAACATGACAACAATTGCAGCAGTTAACCGGACTTTTAGGTTTTGGTGCTAATCCCATCCTGGCTACAGCACAAGAGCTTTGCTGAGCCACCTGAGAGCAGTGTTGCTCTGAGCCATGCCTCTGGTGACCATGCAGGTAATAGAAATCTCCCGTGTTAATTTATGCCTTCCCTCAGATGTGTATACAGGACATGCAGAGCAAATCTCCCATTGACTTCTCTAAATCCTTCTCCCCTGTGAAAATTTTCAAATTGTCTCTACCTTGTGGGTTGATTGAGTATCCAATTATTCTTTTAATACTGCAGAACTTCTTAGCTGGCCTTCCTCTTCCTGTGCCTCTGGAGAGTCAGCCTGTCTGTAATTACCAGATTCCTTTGAAAAGATGGACATTGACACTTCTGTTGTATCTCTGATGTTTTAGGTTTCTCTTACTAACATGCTGCTTCAGGTCTTCTCATGTTGTCGTCATATTGCAAGAGTTCTATTGTCATTATGTTGCAAAGGTTCCATATTGCTAGAGTTTTGTACCTCCTTGATGTTTCTTGTAGGCAGTTCCTCTAGCACTGACTCTTCCCTGTCCTCACAGTAGTCAACTGACTCCAGTTCTTCCCTCAGCCAACCAATCCACTCTTTTATAACACTCTTCTTATTGGCTACTGGTGTGGCCTGTTAAAATCAGGCCTGCTCCTAATCTTTAATAATTGGTTCAGCTGCAACTCTTTAGGGAATAAGATTACATTCTATACCACCTTCATTTACCCATACGGTATCCCCCCACATTCTCATCCTGCCTGGTCCTCCCCATAGGCTGTGGTGAGAAGCACCTTTCTCCTTACAACAGTCATTCACTCAGGCATGCACTGAATTATTACAACTTTCACATCTGCCTGATGTTCCCTGCTGGAGCAAAGGGGATCTAGCCAGATGTTTCCTGCCATCAGGAATAATTACTTCTCACTGTTCCCTCAGTGGTCCCTCACACAGTAGTGCTGGGAGAACAGCCTGTGGAATGCTGTGGCCTTCCTTTAGGATTGCTTTGAGGCCAGGGTGCCAGAGGGGGCTGACTGTATCAGTCTCTTGTACCATGCACAAAGCTTTATGGATGGATGTGGATAAGAGTGTTCATGATGAGAAATTCTGTATTGCTTACTCCAAGGTAATGTCTGTTTTTTAACTGTCTGGAGTTCAAGGGTTGAATACAAACACAGCTGAAGGGGCAGTGAATAACATGAGACAAGCAACTTGCCTTTAAAAGGGAAATAAGTGAAAGAGCTTGTATTATGTCAGTCTGCTGAAACTTCAGGTTTTATCTTAAGCTTACCAGCTGCACAAGTGCTCCCGCTGTGCAGCTGTCTTGGGTTTGTTGCAGTCAGCATTGCAGTTCAGTCCCAGGAGTAACACTATGTGCTGTCATGCCCCCCCTGTTTAGTCTGTTCTCAAGGCACTTCAGAACTTTCCTTCTTTCTTAGAAGCAGTTTTTATTGACTCTTGGCCACTAGAATTGAGTGGGAAGAGCTTTGTTTTATAATGTCCCTCTACACACTGCCCTCTGTGAAGCCTTGATCCTTAAGCAATATCTTAAAAAAAATAAACAAAGACCCAGGTTCTAGCTGGAAAAGATTACATTCCTTCAAGTCAAATAGAAAGTTCATCCAACTTTTATTAAACACATTAGATGAGATGCTATCCTACAGATTTTTATTGGTTTCAGCTTGCATTCAATTCAAGCTGTTCACAACCTTTTGATGTATACCACAGTCCTAACACTACCAATGAACAACACTTAAAATATGATTGTCTTCTTGTGTTTTGTGATATGAAAATAGAGCTCTCAACTTCTCCAATCTCCAGGAAGGCAAGTAAATAAACAATCAGTACTTGACTCTGAAGTTTTGCCAAGGTGTTACATTCCTTTAAACACCACAACCTTTTTCCTGGGCTTTAAATTGAAAGGTATACACAGCATAATAGTGTATCTGTCTTCTCCTCAACTCCTGCTGCTGTCTTGCCTGGTAGGTTTTGTAATTAATTTCCCCCCCACACACCTCATTCTCAGTTCAGGAGGCTGTTTCCTTTTGTGATTTAATCAAGCTAATAAAGTCTTCCTCATAATCCACTCATGCTCTCATGGTATCCAGAGTACAAGCAGTGAGTACAGTTAAGACCCAAGCAGTCATCAAAAGGTCTCCAACTAAACCTTGTTGCTTGATTAGTGCCTCATACACAAATTAGTTCAAATATAGGAAATAACTGAACCTCCTACTAGTGATGGGCTTAGTAACCTTAATATTTGCCTCACAGGCAAATTTCCAGGAGTATAAGGAACAAAACTTTTTTCTCCATTCACATAGCAAAACCAAAATGAGAAACAGAGCTCACACAGAAACTCAGCTTTAAAATGGCTCTTGTAAATTTGTTCCTGTGTTCCCTAAACTCTGCTTTACCTTTCTTGCCAAGGTGTAAGCAGTGCATGAAACCAGTTACAGCACTGATTCTGTGCTTCAGTGTTTGTTTCTTGTACAGGAGTACAAGCCATAGTCACAAAAACATGTGAGAGAGGAGCTGGGACCAAGCACTCCAATATGCACTTTCTGGAAATATCTCTGCCCTGCATTTATTGAGTCCTCTCTCCCTAGGAGAAAAAGCTGTATTTCAGTGTTCTACAGCTCTGTTAAAGGATCAGCTGAAATTTTCCTTTATACTTCTTTGTTGGTTCAATTTCTTGTCACCTGGAGGCTGTTTCCTTAAAAACCAGACTGATTAAATGTTTCAAGTGCTATCTATGCTTAAAAGATTCTGTTTTAGTTTTTGTTCTGTACTCTCTGACACAATACTATTGAAAATCAGTGTTTCAGGAAAGCTTTGAGGAACTGAACTTCCAAATTTTAATGGATTCCATATACAACACATTTGTCCAACTTGGTGATTCATCACAGATTTAAGTCTGCAGTTAGATGATGAGTAGAGGTCTGTGGATTGTGCTTTGCTGTAGGAATGACACTGACACTGAGTGTGCTTAAGACTGCTGCTGTCTGGAGCAATGAGGAGTGCAGAAATTGTATTGGGACATCCCCCTGGAGACACCTGAAGGCATGTTGTAGTCTGATAACAAGGGACACTCAAGTGACTCTGCCATTGTTGGACTCCTGAGAACTCTGTACTTCCAAACCACACCTCAGCCTGTTGTGAATTGCTGTGGGTTTGGCCCATAAACTCAAATGAATCCCTCTTAGAGCTGCTAAAGCTCTGAAATGCTATTGAAAAGTTCTGGCACACAGGCCTGAGTTGTGGAAACCAGTGCAGTGATGTCACTTGGAGTTTTGCCACTGTTTTTGCTGTGGCCAGAATTTAATTTCAGCTGTGTTACAGGTCAGAGCAGAGCATGTTTGCAAAATTGGCTCAGAATCTGCTTCCCTGCCATCCCTCTTGCTATTACAGGCTCAAATTATTCTAAACTTAGAATTCACACAATTAAATGAACACTGAAGTAATAATAAATGATATTTTGTAAAGATAAACCAAAGTGAAGGTTGATCTTGTGATAAAGGCACTGATTTGGCACTTTTAAGATCACAGTTTAATTCCCAATATGGACAAAAATCTTTTGTATAAATTTGGAAGATCACTTTTCTCTCTGGCTCTCAGGTTTTTGATTATAAAATGAGACTGAGTTGAACTCTGTTCTTTGTTAGTGAGCTTTTCAGAGCATGCCTGTGAGTACAGAGTTTATGTGAAACCTGTAAGACAGATACCTCAGGGGTTTTTTTTAGGCCATTATCATAAGGAAACAGTAATACTTGCAAAATGTCCAGGCATCTGGACAATCAGGTCTTACCATGGCTCTTAAAATCTTTGAAATTACAGATCAGTATCTCATGTAGAGCCATGGTTTAACCAGAGCTGGCTATTGAGCACCAGGCTGCCACTCACTCCCCACAGTGGGATGGGGGAGAAAAGCAGAAAAGTAAAAGTGAGAAAAGTCATGGTTGGGATAGAGAGATTTTGAGATTAAGACAGTTTGATGGATAAAGCAAAAGCTGTGCACACCAGCCAAGCAAAATGAGGGATTCTTTCACTGCTTCCCAGGGCAGGCAGGTGTTCAGCCATCCCCAGGAAGGCAGGACTGTATCTCATGTACTAGGTCAGCCAAATGCCATCACTCTGAGTGTCCCCTGCTCCTCCTCCTGCCAGCTGTGATACAGAACATGCCACCATGCAGTTCAGAATGTCCCTTTGGTCATTTGGGGTCAGCTGTCCTGGCTCTGTCCCCTCCCAGTTTATTGTGCACCCCCAGCCTCCTCACTGGCAGGGCAATATTAGAAGAAAAGGCCTTGAAGCTGTGAAATGGCCACTCAGAAATAAGAAATTTTATATATTGTCAACACTGTTTTCAGCAGAAATCTAAAATATGGTTCATCCTAGCTACTATTAAAAAAATAACCCTATCCCAGAGAAAAGCAGTACATGTAGGGTCTGTGTGGCAAGGTTGCTGGCAGGGCTCTAGGGGTGGCTTCTGTGAGAAGCTGCCAGAAGCTTCCCCTGTGTCCTACAGAGCCAGCACCAGCCTGCTCCAGGATGAACCCACCACTGGCGAGGGCTGAACCCATCAGTGATGATGAATAACAGAGTTAAAGAGGAAACACCCTACAGCAGCTGGAGAGAGGAGTGAAAATAAGTGAGAGAAACAGCCCTGCTGATGTGGAGGCCAGTGCAGAAGCAGAGGCAGGGAGTGCTCCAGATGCCAGAGCAGAGATTCCCCTGGTGCAGCCCCTGGGGCCTGCAGGGGTGCAGAGATCCATCTGCAGCTTGGGGAGGGATCCATGTCAGAGCAGGAGAGCATCAGGAGCTCTCCTGCAGAGGAAGGAGTGGCAGAGATGATGTGTGACCTGACCAAAACCCCATTCTCTGTCCCCCTGTACCTCTGGTGGGGAGGAAGTAGAGAAATCAGCAGTGAAATTAAGCCTGGAGCAAAGGGAGGGGTGAGTGGGATATGTTTTAAGATTTGGCTTTATTTTTTATTACCCTTCTCTGAGCTGATTTGGAATAAATAAAATTAATTTTTCCCCAAGTCAAGTCTGTTTTCCCTGTGACAGTAACTGCTGATTGAACTCTGTCTGTCCTTATCTTGATCCATGAGCTTCTTGTTACATTTTTCTCTGGCCTGTTCATTTGAGGAGGAGAATGGTGGAGTGGCTTTGGTAGGGACCTGACATCCAAGCAGGGTCAACCCACCATAACACATTTCTTAGCTTAGAATAAAAAAGTGCAGTTCTATATAATAAAATCCACAGTTCTATTGTGAAGATGTATTATGGGAGAGTAGATTAATGTTAAAAAAATGTATCAAGAAGGAAATGCTTCTGCTAAAAGTACATAAATTCTACCAAATAAAAGTGCTCTAAGTGCTTCCAGGGAGCTTGTAAAAAAATGACAATGTGAAGATGATATGTTTACTGTGTGTCAAATTAAACTAAGACAACTCTCTTTTCCAGGTCACATGAATCAAAGGGATGAAACAGACAAATGGATTAAGGCTGACACACAAAATGGCAAAGTGTGTCTTAAAAGCCAAAGCTGGATCCAGTCTGTCAAGCTGAAGAGTTCTTAAAGGTGAAATAGGCCAAAGAAATTAAATCAAGAAACTACAAAGGAACATTTCTGTAAAATTATGAAAACTTTTGGATGAATATTCTTAATATAAAAGAGAAACTATTAAAAATGAGAGAATTTTAACCCAAGATTTGCCTGTGACAGTGCTGGTGCTAAACAGTCTGGTTTACGTTTAGTGCCTTTTAGGAACAGGATGATCTTACATATTCAGAATTCATATAATTTGACCCACTTACCATAGCAGTTTAAAAGCTGATAGCTTTCAAACAGAAATTTGGAGTTGTTTTTTAAAAATGTAAAAAAGCATGTTCAACACTTCCAAGATGCCATACTTTGCAAGCTCTGTTGTACTTTTAAATTAAATGTCTCAATACTGTGGGAATTCTGCTGGTTCATGCAAAATGCAGAGAATTTTCTTCCTCCAAATTGTATCATGGATAGGAAAAAATCACTTTCAGTGTGGTTCTTATGTGGTCTTCTCATTTGGTGTTTGAGCCCTGAGCAGTTTCTGCCTGGCTGATGGGTACTCTCTGTGTAAAAATACTTCTGTGAAATGACAGCACTTGCTCTGTGTCATCCTGAGCCTCTGGTTTGTGGATAGAAAGAAGAGCTCCAGCTCTGTCTACCACTGCTCACCTGCAAAGAAAAGCTTTTAAGAGAAATAAAAGTACCATGGATCTGGCTGATTTCAAGGAGGAGCACTCTTCCAACTGGACTTAGGGGAGAGTCCACCTGAGCATTCCCCTAAGGAGAAGCTGCCCTAGAAGGGAAATGTTGCCTTTGTGACTGAGAGCTGGAATCTCTCTGTTTGCTCTCTCTGCAGTGAGTGAGAGCCCTGTCCTGCAGAGCTCCTGGGAGGCAGAGAGGGAGGTGAGGGGAGCAGCTGAACCTGCACAAGGGCAGGTCTGATATTTGTGGAGGGTTCTGTGTTACTGTAAGACAAGCACACAGCAAAGTAAATGGGGCTTTTAAAAGCCTTTCCATGCATGTCTGTGGCACCTTATAAAAGCAGTAGTGAAATTTGTGTTTTGAGCTGAAATGTCAGCATCCCTGCCAGCTCAGGGGAGGGTGAGGAGCAGGAGACAATTCAGACTGCCAGCTCAGGCCTTGAGTTTTGTACATACGTGTATGTTCTTTAAGGCATAATGGTACATTATGAAATTAACTTCTTTTGCCACAGGATTCCCCAGGAGATATAATTGCCCCTGGCTAATGGACTTCAAGAATCAAGGGCAGCATACCTACTGTAATTCAGGGAGGTTAAAAACTCCCCTTCTTGTTTATTGTTGTGTGTACTGCTTGTTGGGATGAGGTGGGCACTAATGCATATGACAAATTATATGTATTTTTAATATAAACAGTAATATATATAAAACATTCCTAATGGTATTACTAAAGGCATTACAATATTACTAGATATGAGTTATTATTATACTTTTAAAAGTTACAAAATTAATAAATTATAATGGTTTTTGATACCCAGAAAAATATTTGAAACTAATGTTTTCTATGCCCTGCTGCAGCCAAAGTGAAAAAAGCACCTCAAAATTCACACCACATGAAAACAGTCTAGTAGGTATTTCACAAGATTGAATCCATTTAATGGTCCCATTATTCACCTGAAATACAATGCCTGTCAGCCTCTGAGATTAAGGTTGTGGTTTTTGAGACTGCTGCATCAGCAATTTAAGGGAGAACATAGTAAGAAAACATGTTATTTGTTCCACATTCAAAAGAAAGCAAACTCAGACTTTGAATTCAATAATTTTCTAAATCCAGCAAGAATTAAACATCAGACTTGTTAGTTACTTGCTTAAAGAAGTTTAAATCAGCCAGCAGAAAAATTGTGCTACCACTAAAGCTACTGATTATATTCATTCCAAGCTAAAACATGTTGAGACCAGCTAGAACGTTAATATAAAGGTCAAGAATAAGCTGAAGGAGGACAAACCCTTCCTTATGAGTTTCCCCAAAGGCATTGAACAATGTCTTGTTCTGCTCTAATGAGGTGAAACTGTATTTATCTCTAGACAAGGGAAGATTAGTAGGTTATCAGCAATTAGAATTTGAATGGCAAATCCCTTGTGAGCCCATATATCTTTTTTTGTCCATGTGATGAGAAGACATCCTTGTAAGTGGAACAAATTTATACTCTAACACTTTTTTCATCTGTGCTCCCTTTAATTTGGTTCTCCTGCTCTCTCAGCTGCCAGCCAGCCTACAGTTCAGACCTGCAGACACAAACATGAGGTTTTTCAGAGAGCTGGACTCAGCCCAAGAGGCTTTTATGAGAATGAGGGCTGTGGGTGCGCAAGTGACTGTTGAGAAGTGGAGAACTGTGCTTAAATGCATGGGTGTAGTTGTGTGTTAAAGAATCTGCAGTCAGTGCCTACTCACTGCTTCCACTCCTCAAGAAGGCTGTTCTTGATGGGTACCAACCACATCAAGTGTGGAGTTCTCTGGGGAGTCAGAGTGTTTATGTCCTGGAGAGGACCTTCATGGCAAACAAATCCTCCAACACATGCAGATTTATTCCTTGCTTACTCTGCACGGGACTACAAAAACTTTCATTACTGAAAGATGAAGACAGCTTGAATCAACATCTGAGAGTTAGCAGTGCTGTCTGAGTGCAGCTGTCTTGCTTGAAGGCATTCATACTCCTGTGAGAAAGATTTGCTATGCTTCCTTACTAATGCAACAAATGGCCTTTTATTAAAGTGTGATTAGTTTTAAGAAAAAATAACACAGTGGTCTTTTCATGCTCTAGAGAAAAACCCTTGAACTGTAGAGATGCTGCACAATTTCTTCTTATTTCATTTTGAAGAATTTGTTTTTTCAGGCTCTGATCTGCATGTTTTGGTGAAGGTGATTATGTTACCATCCCAGTCATATCTGAGCCAGGAAGGATGGTCAGCATCATTATGTTCCTGTTTCTCCAGTTCAGCTGTGTATTTCAAAGTAGCTTGTCTGCAACAAAAGTTTAATAATGACAAAATTTTTCAGAGGCTGTTTTTACAAAGAACACTAAAAGCAGTTTAATGAGGAAAAGTTCCTTGCTTTAACTAAAGCTATCAATATTATAAGGGTGTTGAGGAAAGTAAACCAGAAGATAATTGGTTAGGTCATAGAGTCACAGAATGAATTATGTTGGAAGAGGTCTCTGGAGAGTATTTTAACCTGATGTTGCTTTAAGTGTATCCAACTATTCCAGGTGAGTCATGGCTTTACCAGATGAGTTCTGAATATCTTTAGGGATGAAGGTTGCACAGTCTCTGGGATTCTTCAAGAGTTTGGCCAGCTTCCTGGTTAAAAAATTAAATTTTCCTTGTAATCAGAATGTAATCAGAATTTTCCATATGCCATTTGTCCTATCAGTGCACCTTTGACTCTGGTCTGGCTCTGTCTTCTCTTCTCTGTGCTCTGATGAGAGTTAGAGACAGCAATAAGGTCTCCTCCATCTCAAATCTTCTCCTGGGATGTAGCAAAGCAATTCTCTGAAGGTTCTTCACAGGTTACATGCTCCAGCACTTCAATGGTCTTGATGGGTTCATCCACACTTGCTCTAGTGTGTCAGCATCTGCCTGAACACAGATCTGAGAGTGTGATGCCACTGGAATAATAACACACTTTGGAAGAAAATATAAAACGAAGCAAGACAAATAAACCAGCTACACCTGAAGGTATTACAGCATCTCCAAGCTATTTTCTCATGGCTCTAAAGGAAGGCTGTAGTAACTGTGCAGGTCCCTCTGTTTTTCTTTTTGAACCAGTGTCTGCAGCACCTCCAAGTATTTTACCCTTTCCTCATTCACCTTCTGCCTGATTTTGGGCAGCCTCTCTACTGTAGGTATCTTCTGTCACCCACCTCCTTTAACATGTATTGTTTCAGAAATGGAATTGAGTACACAACAGGCAGTGCTACAGGAGCCTGTGGTTACCTGCATGTGCTGGCTCTGAACCTGCCCCAAGGCTGTTTTGTTTTGCAGCTTCTGTGAGAGATGAACCAGAAGAGAGTTGTCTGTGATGCCCAAACCTACCCATGACCCCTCAGATCCCCCTAAGCATTTTGTGGCCACTGCTCTTTTGCAGAACTAGAGCATAAAACTCGATCAAAATTTGAGAAAATCAGGCCTCCTGAGTGAGACACTCAAAAGAAGAGCACCTCTCCCTTCTTTTTTGGCAGTGTCAATCCAGCAGTTTTCAGTACCTTCCCAAGCTGAAGAAACAGAGCCCACCGCTTGCTGTGAATGTGAATGTCTCTTTCTTTCCATGCCTTGTGTGAGCTGGCTGCCAGCCTGGTCCTGCTGAGCAGAGCACCCTCCTGCCCAGCCTCCCCCTGTGCTGAATATTCCAGGGCTCCTGGGGAAGAGCCAACTCTGCAGCTCCCATCCTCTCCAGGAGATTCAGCCTGAGCTGGTGTGTCACAGCCACAGCAAGACAGTCTTTCTCCCTGCTGGCCAATTCCTAGGCTCTGGAAAAATATAATATACAGCATCCAGACAATACTGGAAAAAAAGTCCAAATTGAAGTGCTCTGTGATCTGTCAGTAATGCTGCTACAGTGTTTTTGTGTTTAGTTCCCAAAGTGGAAATGCTGGAGGTGGTTACAAGGGGCAGATGTGCCCAGCTGTGATGCCTGCACCACTACAGCAGGAAAGGGAAGTGGGCAGGAGTGGAAAAGGGACAGAATTAGTGAAGCAAGAAGGGTTTGTTTGCAACCACTGCAGGATATTTTTTTTATAAAATGTCCAACACTGACACACTCTGTGAACCACATGAACACAAGGCTGCATCTGTTTTTATATTAGGGAGGCCTGTGCCATTGAGGAATGTGTGCACAATTTATATGAGCTATAAGCTCTGACCTATAAAAAATCAACTCATCCAAGTCCAAATTCCTGTTTTTCATGGAAACTGCAATGTATAGTGGCTGTCTGAAGCATGTATAAGGGGAGCTGTTACTGCTTTTTTGGAAAGTTATGATGTCCCATGCCTGGAGCTACAGTTGAGTGGTTTGCCAGAAACAGCCATTCATTAATCACCAACACATGGTGAAAAGATTGTTTATTTAAGATATACTGTACTATGACAGAGTCTGATTATTTTATTTATTTATTTATTTATTTATTTATTTACTGTCTTAAATGAGCCAGTTGATGAATAAAAGTATTTCAGCCAATAATTACAGTTATCTTTGGCAAAACAGCTATCTCTTGGTATAAGTCAGACAAAAGAACTGGCCCAAACACAGGGCTTGAACAGCATTGGAATACCTAATTGAATCCTTACCCAAAGTTTGAATCCATTTTACTGAGAGGGGATAACTGGGAAATACAGTACTGCAAAATGGTCTGAATCCTGAGCCATTCCAAAATTCAGCAATTTTTCAGAATCACAGAATGTGCTGAGTTGGAAGGAACCCACCAGGATCATCAAGTCCAACTCCCAGCCATGCATGGCACTATTCCCAAGAGTCACCCCATGTGCCTGAGAGCATTGTCCAAACACTTGAACTCTGTCAGGGTGGTGCTGTGACCACTGCCCTGGGGACCCTGTTCCTGTTTGACTGGGTCCATCATAATAAAAAGCATAGATTCTGAAAAAAAACTTATTGAGCTGAGGTTACAGACACCAATCATCAGTAAAAAGTAATGGAAAATAAAATCTCAAACATGGGAGAAATGTTTGTAGTGCAAGTACATGAGAAATTAGGCAAGTGGAGGCAGGGAGCTAATGGGAAAAGCAGGAAGCATTCTGCAGGCATGCTCCAGGTTACAGAATGTGGTAAGAGTACCTAGGACCTGAAGTATTCTGAGGTCCAATAGTTTTATCATTTTATGGCATCCAGTTCATACGCATTTAGTGGCTGAAACATGGCACTCCAGGAGCCTCTGTGTCACTTCCAAAGAGAGAATTACAGTCAGTGTGAAGACAGTACTGTATTTCTGTTTCTTGTTTAACAGAAGACTTAGGAGTAATTGCTGTTGGTCTTTTACCAAATTGTGTGTAGGAGGTCTTCATTCCCAGTTCCATGTTTGTTTGCATATTTGGATAAAACCTAAGAAATTCTGTGAGTTCTTGCATTCTCCTTTCTAATCAACAGCAGCCATTAGGAAACACAACAACAAAACCAAACAAAAATGAAAGTCTTCTCCAAATGTTAAATGTATTGTAACTATTAAGACCTGATGTAATTTTTGTTTAAAAGGCAAAAATTGTAAGAGGAATTGTTGATGAGTTTGTTAATAATGTAGTCATGAGTTTAGGAGAAATGTAACCAGTTTTATGTTAGTGCAGACAAGAAAGAAGGAAGCACCTAATTTTTAAGGAGTAATTTAAGGAGATCTTAAGGAACCAAACTGTTACAGATGAGATGTAGTTTGGGGATATTACAAGCCTAGCTGGCTTCTCTGTCAATGACATGTTTCCTTTCTCATTTTGCATCTAGAAATGTTAACACAGAACGTTTTACAGGGAACAGAAGTGTTTCTCTAAAGATGCCAGTATGTTATTTCCTGTAGTCTTAAGGAGTAGTCTTATGCAAATCAAGCTGACACCACCTTTTCCTACATTTTAGAAAGCAGAGAGTTAGGTTGTTTTTCCTTTAGCAGAAGAAATCAATTGTACCAGCACTATGTACTTCCACATTAGATTATCCATGATTCTTTCTGCCATTTAGAAACTGGATTAACTGAAAGGTCATTAGCCTCTGGATACAGAAATATGCAGCAGGATACCAGGCCACAAACCTTTTCTTCCTTCTAACATTTATTAAACCTGGAAGCAGGGCAGTATGTTGGCAAATATAATCTCAAAATCTACCTTATTTTGGAAAGAATGATCAATTGAAGGCCCATAACTGTTTCCTATGAAGCTGCTTTGGACTGAAACTTGGAGAACTTTGTGGCTCCACATGTTTTCTATTTTAATCTATCAAAACAGTAAAAATAAAAAAAGAAAAACAATGTGCACAATACAAGAGATATGACTCAATACTTGCAAGGTTTAGTCTGTTAAGAAATGTCTGCTAGGACTGGTTAGTGTTTAACAATAAATAATGGGGAATTCCTTTGGAACAATGAAGTAGCATTTTATGCCACAGATATTTTAAGGCAACTTTAAACTAAAAACATATTTCTTCTATTGCTTATTTAGAACCTAAGCCACTAGCATGTTTAATTCTCCAGATGAATGTAATTTTTACATAGATGACCTCTTCCATCTCCTTAAACAGAGAATGAAATTTCTCTACAATGTCAGTTTCACACCCTCTGAACATAACTTACACCTGAAACCAGCCTTTACCTTCTGTGAAAATCTAAGCTGAATATGGTTTTACGAGTTAGCTGAAAATGGAGAATTAAGGCTTGATTTAGTTTTTTGACAATCTGTTGCTTGTCATTCATTACTAAAAACATACAGGTTGTAAAAGAAACGCAGTTTTATAGAAATATGTGACAGTGACAATACTGTCATTGCTGTTGATGTTGCTGAAAAGCTACTGCAAGATAACTAACTCTAGAATCATGCCATATTTTACTGTGCTTTTGATGTAGTTATTGGCAGAAGATAAAATTTTTATCATCATTGCCATATTGACCTTAAACTGCAATTAAAAAAAAAAGATTTTCCTAAAGTGGGAAACATGCAGGATGTGGAACATATCAGAATCTCACTGTGAACTCACTTTTATCTTCTGAATGTCATTCCCAGTATATTCTGTGGCCTGGCAAAGTCTAGAGCGGGATTTCTTTGGACTTGTTGGAAAGAACAAGTTAAAAATGCTTGGGACTGCATTATTCTGCATATCAGTCCACCTAGTAAGTGTTGTCCCAGACTCAGATGGTGCAGGACAGGAGTTTCCTGTCACTGAATATGTGGTGTGAAGGGTTAGAGACTGAGGCTGGCAAGGAAAAAAACCATCCACTGTCCAGAAAATGAGACTCAAGAAAATAAAGTTGGCAAAGTTTATCTAGTTCTGAACATCACAAAAAGGGCAAAGATAACACTGGGTGGAGACATGTGTCTCATGGTTGCCTTTTTGTTTTGCAAAGATGTGTAACTCTCCAGGGTTATCTTCAGAGTAAAAATAACTGGTTGAGAAATTCCTTGGCTGGGTCAGAAGAGTTTAATCAAGACCTTTGGAGAACCTATTGCATGTGGGACTCTTAGGCAGAGGCAAAATCTTGGGTCATCCCAGGCCAGAATAATGCAAATGGGTTTCTGAGAAGTCATGTCAGCTCCTTGGTGATGGCTCACCCAGCACAACTTGGAATTTGCACAAGTTTCTGTTCCCATTTCATCTCACTTCTACAGGAAGACGGATCAGCAGGCAGAATCAGAAAGGGCTGACACACTGTTGCTACTCTAAACAGAGATATGAAGTCACAGAATAAACAAGTCAACAACAGTAATCTGAGGATAAAAGAAAAACCCTTGAGGCTTAAGATGAGAAAAACTGTAAATCATAAAATTATGAAGAGATTAAATGAATCTGAATTTTTTTTTTCAATTACTACTGTTGCCTACCAATCCTTCAAAGCACTTTCTGTATCTAACAAGTGTTTAATTAGAAGTAGAGATTTTAAGGAGAAAGTTCTGAGATGACATTGAGAGAACTACATCTGAGAGAAGTGAAGAAAATAAGACCAGTGACAGCAGAATTGTTTGTGGTAAGACAGGGAAATAGTAGAGGACGATTTGGAAAGTGTGAAGCACACTGGAAATACCTTTTGAGTTATTAAGTATTGGTCTTGTGGTCTCTAAAGCAGCTATTTAACCCTGGAATGGCTCAGCAGGAAGTACAGTACTTACAGAGGAACTGTTAAAGTACTATTAGAGCTCTCCTAGTACAGGCTGTCTATATAGAATGGTATTTTATATTTCTTACTCTCATAAAATTTTATTAAGTTATCTATTCAGATAGATCAACCATGTCTAAACTTCAGTTCCTTTCCAGTTTCAGGCCCTGGGCATGTCTGGCCACTGTGCTGTTCTGGGTACACAGGGCCTGGTCTGTAATACTCTTAATCCCCATGGAAGGGTGGTGGGAATTGAATCCACATCTTTTGAGACTCACAAGACTCAACTTAGTTCTCCCAGTTTTTAAGAAGGGTAAAGAAGGAAGGCTTCAGCAATTACAGGCCTTCCAATCTCACTTCAGTGCCTGGTGAAATTATAGAGAAACTTATTCTGAGAGTAACTGAGAAATATTTGAGAGACAATGCAGTCACTGGGCACAGCCAGCATAGGTTCACAGAGGGGGAAGTCCTGCTTAACCAACTTTATTTTCTTTTATGACAAGGTCATCCACCTAGCTGACCAAAGTAGGCCAGTAGATATGGTGGGTTTGGATTTTAGCAGAGCTTTTGGTACTGTCTCCAAAAGTATCCTGGATAAACTGTCCAGCACAGTCCATAATACACTGAGCGAGCAACTGGCTCAAAGGGTTACAGTAAATGCGGTTACATCAGGTTAGTGGCCAGACACCAGTGCTTAATTTGTAATCTTTTTATAAATGATCTGGATGCAGGAATTAAATGCAAAGTGTGCCAATGATACTAAACAAGACTCCCTGCAGGGTAGAAAGGAGCTACAGAGAGATCAGGACAGACTGAAGAGCTGGGCAATTGCCAGCTGCATGAAACTGAACAAGAGCAAATAGTCAATTCCTCACCTGGGATGGGGTAAACTTGGTTACACATAACCACTGGGAGATGAAAGGCTGGAGAAAAAGCCCTGCAGAAAGGAATCTGGGACTCTGGTTCTATGGAAGGTTGAACAGGAGCCAGCAGTGCCCTGGCAGCCAGGAGGGCCACCTGTGTCCTGGTGACATCAGGCACAGCATCACCAGCTGGGCAATGGAGGGGATTGTCCTGCTCTGCTCTGCACTGGGGCAGCCTAACTCCCAGTGCTGGGGACAGTTTGGGGCACCACAATGTAAGAAAGACATGAAACTATTAGGGACCATCCAGAGAAAGGTGACCAAGATGGTGAAATATCTTGAGCACAAGAACTACAAGGAGCAGCTTATGTCACTTGGCTTGTTCAGCTTGGAGAAGAGAAGGATGAGGGGGAAGTGCTGACCAATGACAAAGCACAAGCTGTGTCAGGGGAAGTTCAGACTGAACTTTAAGAGAAGGTTCTTAGAGGCTGGTCAGTAAAAACCAACCTGGGAAGGTGGTCACAGTACCATAGCTTGACTTGGTTAAGCCAGATACCCAGCATGGCACCATGATGCCAGTGAAGAAAAGAACCTCATGTTTTGGGGTTTACAACCTCCTCTGAAGTAAGATTAGGAAATATTTTCTTGGTAATTTTTCTACAGAACAGTGTCGTGAGAATCTGGAGTTGCTCACAGGCTTTCCAAAGATATTTCAGGTATTGTCAGTAAGATGAATGCAACCTGAGACCTGAGTCCAAGCAGGGGAGATAATGGCAGGCTGCAGCCAAGTATTGGATATGTGTATCAATCATCTGTAAATGAACCAACAAAACATGCAGAATTTAGAAGATTATTGAATAGATGAAAAAAAAAGAATTCCCAGAGCACAACTTTAGTGTCTGACTGGTAGAAAAAGTATGTTTTAAAACTGAAGTAAGGTTTCCGGCACAGCAGAATTCTGAATCTCTGCAAGAGGCTCCACAGAAACTGTCACTTTCTAATATTAGATATTAGTTAACTGTGATTGCAGTCTAGTTTTAAATATTGTGGGGTTTTTTCACCTACTGAGAATGGTCTAACTTTCCCACCCATATATGTGCATGCAGCACATAGAAGCCTTTAGTATTTGTGCAATTGCATTGCTCTCTCTAAATTACAAGGATGCACTTGTATGACTTTTTATACTTAGTTCTCTGTTACAAATGAGTGTCTCACACCAAGATATTTTAATGTGTGGTTGGTTTTTTTAGCTCTGAAGCACAGGTCCTTAGTTTCACCTCACAAGTCCATTTTTCAGGAACTGATACTCATTGTCATTAATGCTGGAAGTTGCATTTGAGAAAAACATGACACGCAATCTTCAAGGTACATAAGCAGCCATGCAAGCTAATAATTGCTCCACTGACCTCAATGGGAACAGTCAAGAATACATTATGCACATACTTTAATTACCTTGTTCATTCAGGACCAAAAATCAAGAGATTGTCTTTAATCAAAGACATTTGAGTGAAATCACTGGAGTGGGGTGGTAGAAAGAGAGATGAGGATTTCACTTGTATCAAACAGCCAATCTCATGAGAATCTATAAGAGACAAGGCAGCAAGATAAAGCTGGGGCCTGGGGTTGTGGAACAGTGTGTGACAGTCTTCCTGATATGTGGAGCAATGTACATGTGCTTTGCTTATTCCAGATCTATTTATATGCTTAGTATTAAGATCTGCAATAGATTAATAAATGGATTAAAATATTTTTAAGGAGATTCATATTCTTATTTTTAAAAAAGTTGCTGACTCTGAAGCCGGTAACTGGTATCAGATGCATTTAGAAAAGTCTACATTTGTCATACCCTGAATCCTATTCCCTTTAGAGGACTGAATGACAGAATTTGTTGTTCATTCTATTGTATCTTCAGAATTTAGCTATTTAAAAGGCCAATTCATTTAACCAGAGATTTATTTTCATCTCTTGCTGTATTTTTTCATGTGTAGAATATTTCCCACAGCAACTTCATTTTTTTCCTATGAAATAAGAATGACCCTTGAATCAGGTTCACTCCCTGAAGGCTCAGAACAAAACTGCTGAATATTTTATACAATCAGCATTTGAAAAACGACTTGTACCTGCCCAAGGCATACAGAACCATGGCATGGAGACTCAGAGCACCTCCACTGAAGTCACTGGAGTTTGTTGAAAGATGATTGATTTGCCTCAGAATATAGGATTAAAGTTATAAGCTCTTCTAATTTTTGAGTAACATGCATAGCACATTCAAAATATCCTTAATGCACATATATTTCTATATTAACTTAATATTTTAATATTGTATATTAATATTTCTATATTAATTTTAAATTTCTTTTTCTTAAAAATAAGATACCTGATGTTGCAGGTCACATTAACATATATCCTTTGGAACAGGTTCATTCCGACTTTCATCTCCTGACCATTTTTTAACAGTTTCTGAGTGGAAAATATTTCTTTACTTAGCAGCTGGATACCCTCAATTTACACTAGAGTTTGCCAAAGGATTTGTAAGACCCATTAGCTTTAATATGCACAGGTGTACCCATCTCATTTTATGGAGCTGCAAGCTGGATTCAAGTCAAACAAAGACTTGTAAGCTTATGGGTAGGTTTATGTGGAAGAGTCTCAATGTTCTCTTCTGAAAATAGTAGGGTATTAGCATTTAACAGATTGGCTTTATAAGTGTTTAAAGAAAAGATACCATCTAGGAACAAAGTGTTGGAAGGGGATTACTGGGTCACTGAGTTGACTCATTTTTCCCATTTGCAGGAATTGCAAAATGTGACCAGTCCATTCCCTTACCAAGAGCCATACTAACATTCCATGACAGTTTGCCCCATCTCCCTTCCCAGAAAGCTCTTTCATAACTCCCTGCTGTGATAACAAAAAAAATCTCCCAGTTGCCAGCCTAAAGGTGTTTGCTGACATTTTATGGTGTTTGTTTTGTTTTGTTTTGTTTTCCTGCATTGGTATGTCATGTGCTGGGGAGACAGGACTGATGGCAGCACTACATACTTCAACTGCTTTGGGAAGACCTCTGCAGAACCTCTATTACCACTGTCATTGTGGAAAAATAGCTGAATACCTATCTAAACCCAAAGGACAGAGGAGATTAGGACCCATGTAAATAATAATTAATGGTGTACAGAAATATCTGTAAGATATAAACCAAGGGCTAGTGTAAGATAGAGATAGAGAGTGGCCTCCCAGATCTGAAACACAGCCACTGAGCTTTGGCCTAGAGGCTGAGAAACCTCTGTACATTTGGAAGGCAAACAACTTGATCAGAGAATATCTAAATTTAGGGCTGGCTAATTAGTCGGTCAAATAATCTCAAATTAGTTGTGCAGGGGCTGTGTTCAGCCACTGCAGGGAATGAGGGGATGTGTGGAGGATAGTCAGGGGTTATGGAGATGGGTCTTGGTGAGGAGGGATCAGGGACCAGTGATGGCTGCAGACTTACTGTGGAAGGAAATAGGACATGGGCATTTCAATGGGGAAAAAATGAGGAAAACTGGTTCATTGAGTGGCAACATTTTAAAGGATAGTTCAAGATTAACATTTCCAAGAGTAGTAATAAACTTGTTCATTGCCATGTGATAGTGACAGAAGCAAAATTGCAACTTTTCCCAAGAAATTTAAACAAAAAACTAATCAGCGTTTTAAAAACTGATTTGTTTGTATGCTTATTTTCAAAATGAAGCAAGTATTTTGTTTTGCTGTCAAAAAAAATTAAAACTGCCTAAGTAATTAAATGCACAAAAGCCAGAGCCATTAAGTCAGAAAGTACAGGCAAGAGATATAGGCTTTCATAACAGCAGAATTTCAAAAGAGAACACACATTCAGATACAACAAAAAGATGAATGGGATGCCAGACTTCAGCCAGAAAGAAATTATACAGAAAATACAAGAAGCAAAAGTGCTGTAATAGAAGTTCAAGATAAAGAAAAACTAAGTTTCACTACAGATGAATCTTAATCTAAATAATTTAATTTCAACCCTGAGGGCTTCAGCTTTTAGGCACCTCTTTTATTTCAAAGGATCCACTGCCTTGCCATGTAAAGGCATACTTAACAGATATTAAATTCTAATGCCCCAATTTAGGCTTTACCTGGGTTCAGAAAAAGATCTGGGGAAAAAAAAAGCATGAAAATATCAAGACTAATTAAAACAAAGCTACAATCCTTCCAAGGCACCCAAAACACCAGAACCATGGGAGAGTATTTGCAGGAAGTGATACATAATGTGAAAGCTCTTCTCTCTTCACCCTTATTTAGACATCAAGTCCTGGAGAGAAAAACTTTTAGCTGACACAGTGTGGACACCTTTATACTGTACCTGCAACCATTAGAAGAATGCCAAATACTCCCAAGAGCCAAGTCTCAAATCTTAAAACTCACAGAAAAGCAGCTGAATGATGCCAGCAGGTCAAATTTCTGGATGAAATAGTAAGTAATTCTTTACAGTAACAATCCCAGAACTATCACCCTATTTCTTGTGCATACCTTTGGGCAGCCTCCTGTGTTGACAGATGTCAGTCTGTGGCAGTGAAATGCCAATGTTTTCACAGCTTCATCTGTCAGCTGAGGGCAGTAAGAGACAAGGCAGTGTTCCAGGTATTCTGTGCCCTTGCAGAACTCAATTACAATGCTTGTACACCAATCCTTTGATCCACTTCCCACACTTCAGTTCTCTAGGTACCTTTCATTAGAAGTGAAGTCATTCTGCCATTGACTTCTAGAAAAAGAAGAAATGCATTAAGGGCCTATTTTCAATTGTTTGTGTGTTATACTGTGGGTTCATTAGATTAACATTTATGTAAATTCTACTGTATACATTAAACCATGTTGAATTTGGGTTCTTTAAATTTAGCACAACCCAGTAGCTAAAATGTTGTGCTTAGAGAAACAGGCCCAGATAAATTCATTCTACTGCTCTCTGCAAATGCCCAGTTTTGTTCATAACAACTTCTTCTCTTTTAAATGAACAGAAAGCTGTATCTGAATAAATCACTTTTTTTTTTTTTTCGAAGGGAATGGTAAGAACCTCAGGACTGTCACTCAAGAGTTCTGGGCTCTGGTTTGCTCTGTGGAGCTCAGGACAGTTAACTGCGATACTGATTGACTACAAGTTCTATCCTAGTTTTCAGAATGAATAAACATTTGCAGATAATACTGACTCCAATTCCAGCACCTTTATAACTCAAATACTAGCTTTTTCATGTATTCTGTAAAGCAGACAGTCTTGGAAAATAATAATGGAACTCCTGTGAAAGGTCACTTAGATTCTTAAAATAGACTTTTCTCCTTTGCACTCTGAAACTTTTTTTTACTTTTCAGCCTGAATCTTTTCCAAGCCTGAAAAACATCACTTCTAGGCTTACAAAGAGAAGTTAGACCTTCTACTGAAACCTTCTCTGGAAACCTCTTGAAAACAGTTGCCTAAAATCACATTTCTTCACTTCCATGTCATAAGGAACACAGGACACCCTGCAGCTCTACCAGAGGTTTAGCTTCAGTCAGAATCTCTCCTCTTCTGTCATGTCCAGCCTCAAACCCTGGTGAGAAGCCTTCAATGTGTCACTGAGCTGGGTTCCAGCCTGCTAATCCTGGCCTAAGGCCAGAGTAATTTATCATTTCCTGGAATAGCAATTCTACCTCTACAGGGAGAACAAGGAAGAACACATAGTGGATTGAATAAAAACCACTGGTTGCATGAAGCTTTTCAAAGCTTTCAAGAATTAGTCCTGAGGTAAAAGGACTAAGCACCACATGGATAAATAAAATGTGTGAGCACACACAAAAATGCATGCATTTTTTATGCACAAATATTATATATTTATATTTATATATATTCTGACAAAATTACCTCTGCATTAACCAGTACTAACACACAGCTAATTTTTCCTTATGTTACATAGGAACTCACCCAATAACACAGGGTTGATCACTAGAAAATATTATTTTTATTATGACAAAAGATTATATATTTGTGTGATTTTCATAAGTGTTACCTAAATAGATGCAAAGAAACTTATCAGATCTGCAATTTGTTTCATAGACTATACTTTTAAGATTTTTGTCTATATCTTCACTTTGGTTTAATTTTCTTTTTGTCTGTTGGTACAGCTATATCAAGGCAGCTTTCTCAGGCTTTGGGTGCTTGTTTTATTTTACAAAATATTGGAAGTGTCAATGTTTGAATCTAGGATAGGTTAAAGTAGAATATTCAGAATTTATATTAATTGGCTTCTCTACCCTTCCTATTTCAATTTTGGATTTATGGTCTGTTTTTCACCTGTAATACAGAAACATTCTACACCTAGCAACTAAATATTTTTCATCCATATGCAAGAGAAACTGCAATCCTTTCAGAATTAGGCCTCAGATGTGATGACTCAATCACTACATTCTCAGCTAGGGTATGTAACACAAGGTGAAGCCAAGATTTCAATGCCTGTTATATGTGTTTATCTTGTTTTTACTAGCATAGCTTGTCTACATGCTTATTTAAAATATCCTTGAAAGTTAGGTTCTGAATTTACTCTTAACTTTAAGTCTACCCCTACATGCTTTTGCAAATAACATTCAAATTATATTTGCAATCAAAAGAGATGGAGCTCTGTTTGCTCACTTCATCTCTGTGTCCCTGGTTATATATCTATAGAGAAAATAACAGATGAGGCTGTGAGGATAAATTATGTTTGCAAGACATTTAGTCACTATAAAAAGTCAAATGTCATATGAAGAAAACATAATTTTCCAACTTAATTGCACAATTTTAATTGTGCATAAATAAGGCCTAAGGACACACACAAACATCAATGAAAAGGTCAAATACTAAATTGCTGTTCATTAAGTGAGCATAATCTGAATTATGAATGAAAAAGGATCCTGTTTTCAAAATATGGGATCTCATAAGTGTTTACATTCTGTTATAGTACCGAGGAACATGCAGTGGGATTACCCTCTGCAAATTTTCCATAAAATCATATCCTTGGATTCAATTTCCAAAAATGACTTGTCATTTTGTTTTGAGTTACTCTGAATCTCCTCTTCTTTCTCCTGCCTTCCCTAGATCCATGAAAACAGGGCTTCTGCAACTCCCACATGTGCTCCCTGCTGCTGTTTTTTTCCTCAAAAAATTCAAATTCATTTGGCACACAGGGAAAGCAGAAACACTTCTTTTTAATAGCCTTTTTTTAAATTTCTTCTGTGTAATGAGACACTTGAAATAGCTTCTTGGCCATGAGCATGGCACAGCAGAGCAGTGAATATTCTCCTCTGAGAGCAGCAGCACTGGCACCACACGACTTTCCATGAGGTACACAAGATGCACATACTTGGCCATTGGTAAAAACATGGAACTTTGCACAGAACATTCATGAAAGACAAGTCAGAATTATTCCTAGAGAAGCAAATGGCCTGACGTGCACATTGAGCAACAAGATTCAATCCAGATGTAGCTCTTGTGGTACAACAACTGACTCATTTTTACAATATATGGCTATAAAATGGTGGATGTTGAAGATTTGTAATGGAAAAACTGTAGAAGCTGAGGGCTGGGATTATGTGATGGCATTGCCTGTACCTGCAGCCTTATGATCTGCAACTGTTTATGGGCATGAAATCAATACCATTAAAAATCGATTATTTAAGCATTTCTGTTATATATCGTTAGGAACAATTTCAGTTACAAAAGCAAGTGCTCTTATTTGGATGTCAATTCCTAACAAGATAGATGTTCTTTCTACTACTGTAAAGTTACCCTCTAGTGTTTCTTTCTCATACTGTTTGGAAATACAAAGTAAAATACAAAAACAAAGTAAATCTATGCAATCATATTGTGTTTGTCAAATCTCCAAAAGGATTTTGGTAAACTTCAAGCAACCTGTGATAAGGATGAGGTATTTCACAGTTTAACCATACATTTGGGAAACAGTAATTTCCTCTTCATACTGAATTTTCAAACCAAGTTGATTTCCTGCCCACTAGGTTCTGCATGGAAGTAAACAGCAAAAAACTGTCCCCTCTTCACCCTTTTCAAGGCAAAATTGAACAGATCTCAAGATCTCAGGCATATGGCATTGTAGGAATGAAAGGGGGGAATTTTTGATGTAGTATGGTGTTATGAAGAATGTCATGCAGAACAAAAGATCAATTTTGGATATGGTTAATTTAATGAAATAGGGGTTCTTCCAAGGAACACCAAGAAAAAGGCAAAGTTTTTACCTGAATCCCATTGTCACTGAAGTTTTTACATTGTGATATAGAAAGTTCCAATATTTTTCCATGGCAACCAAGAGGTCTCAAACCCTAAAAAAATCTGGAAAAATTAATAGAGAAAGGGGAAAAAAATCAGTTTTCCTACCTCCTGTGAAACAAAGAAACTGAAGAAAGGTAATGTGATGTGAAGTACTTCAACCAAAACACATTTATGTATCTCCACAATTTGGGGTGGAAGAACTTTTTGCAAATGTTTTTTGGGAGGAGTTGTGTTGTTTGTTTGGTTTGGTTTATTTAGGTTTTTTTGTTGGAACAAAATACTACTCAATAAGACCAAATGTCTTAAAATTGCTGCCTTACCATTAAGGGCTTTATGGCTACAAGACAATATTTGAAATAGTGCTGTCACACTCAAAAATGTATGAACAGCCCCCTCATTCAAGACAGTAAGGACTTTTATTAGGACTGCAAGAGGATCTAAAGATGCTTTGTGATTTTTACTTCTTCTACACCAGGAAACTGGGCAATGTTCTGATCCTAAGCGCTCTAATGTAAAGGAAAATTAAGTGTTGATTTTGTAAAACTATTTTTTATAATCACAGCAGAATATCTCTGTAGTTCATATCAATAAAGTAAACTTTACTGGAAAAAAAAGTTATCCCTTTATTCCATATGGTTAATAAGTTATCTACAATTAGGCTGTGAACAGCACTGCCTAATTGCAGGCAGAGAGGAAGTATCATCCTGAAAAAACAGGCACATGCAGATAGTGTCTGGGACCCAGATGTGGACACTGTAATGATAATGCTGGAAGAGTGTGGCTGGAGTTCAAATTTTGCAGATTCCTGAAATCTCACAAGCTGGATAGATACAAAAAATGGAACAATGAAAGAAGTTTCCAATCCTGGCTACTTAGGAAAACACAAAACTTTGCATTTTTCTCAGCAGACGCAGTTGTCTGGTGAAAACTACTTTCAACAGCTTCGTGAAAATCCACAGATTTCAAATTTTTGTTGACCAGAGTACTCCTATTCAAGACAATAAAATAGTTATGTGCTTAAACCTAAAATGGGTTTATGCCAGAACTTCAATTTCTTACAGCAAAGACTCATGGTCTAATAGGTGTGATCTCAAGGACATAATTTGTTCTTGGATTTTTCTTTATCAAAAGTGGCACCACTTTAATTGCTAATGAAAAACTAAAGAATATAATAAGGAGGTTTTTTGCCACATGACAATCAATTCTGCTATCACTTCAAAGTTAATTTATAATAATTTTATATTACTAAAGTGACATTAAATCACAGAAAATCTATTTTTATAAATGAAAATCAATACATTGAGGCATTTTGTTAACAATTACAAATTTAAGAAAAAGAGTGAAGACTTGAATGACAAGGAATGTCATTGGGACATTCATTAAAAAAGGAATGTCATTAGGACATTACATAAAAAACT